GTTTAGACGACTTTATTATTTCAATGTTAACTGTAATATTTGTTATTTTGGGAGACTTTATGTTGTATTAGCACCTATTTTATATAGTTTTTATAAAATAGCTCTGGGGTCTTATTAAATTCCCTTTTACTGCCATTTAGTGATGTATTTACAACTGTTTTCCTTTTGTTTCTTGATGTGATGAGTTACATAAAGAGATTTCCTAATGTTGAACCATTATTACTCTTTCTCATTTCATTATTTTTCCTTTTTTTTTTTGGAAATAACCTCTAACAATAGGTTTTATTTCATCTTTGACCCAACACCATACTTTTTGTTTTATTTTACAAAATCTGTGGGTGGTTTATTTCCTTTAACATGCAACCTGTTTAGCTTCTGCTGCTTATAACTAAGACATTTTTGTGGCCAAGATTATTATCCATATTGATATACATTGCAAGGACATTGAAAAATGGTGGTTCATTTTATTAGATCTTAAAATTAAATAATAAAATCATTCTTTCTCATTCCTCCATCATCTGTATATTTTGATCATTATTTTTTTGTATATGTGAAGACTCAAAAACTGGAAGTGAATTGTTTTTTGCTATCTATAAAACATTTGTCCCATTATTTGTTTCTTCAATTTGCTTGGATGTGGAAATGAACATTCCTGTTATTTGTCTTGTTCACATTTGAGTAACTTTACTTACCTATCTTTTATTTATTTATTTTTTTTTTTAATTTTTTTTCCATTATCATTTATCCACTCTATACCCTCCTCTATCTCCACCCCCCCCACAATCACTTACCTATCTTTAATTTTAGCGAATTTTGTGTCACTTTGTCTTTCTTATGTCTCTTCTTGGATCCAATTTTTGATCCTATGCCTTCCAATATTATCATTTTTTAATTTTCATTTAGTATTTTAAATCACATATGTTTCATATTGCTTTTATCTGGTTTAACTTTTAGAGTCCTATTGCTTTCCTTGTTTTTCCTTGTTTTTTTTCCTCTCTAAAAATGCAAACTGTTTCTTTTTATTTTTTTTAGTCTTTCAAAGGTTTTCTAAAGTCTGATTTCATTCAACCAGTGGTTACTTTCAAATGTTCAAAATCATTTTTCAATCCGTATTTCTGTATTCTTAGTGTTGAATTTGAAACCGTATCGTTCCAATTTTTTATATCTAAAGAAATTATTTAACTTAAGTTTTCTTTACCACTCAGCTCAATACTTTAAGTGTAAGGAATAAGTTTAAGAAAAGATATGCATGACTTCTATACTAAAAACTATAAATACTTCTAGGCAAAATTAAGAAAAACTAAATAAATGGGGAACTTACAAAATGTAAACAGATTGGAGCTTAATATTGTTAAGATGTCAGTTCTTACCAAATTTATCTGTTGGTTGAATACAAAGGGCTATAAAAATCCAAAAGGCTTTTCTTATAAAAACTGACAAACTGATTTTCAAAGATGTGGGGCCAGGTGGAAATACTGGGGGGAATACTCTGTGAAGTGTATGCTTCTCTAACCACTGTGCTGCATACCTGAAACCAACGCAAAATAATATTGAAAATAAGACAACGGTGCCCTCAATAAATACTTGTTGAATAAAAAAATAATAAAAGGTATGTGGAAAACCAAAATGTTTAGAAAAGCCAGAATAATCTTCCTGATTGACTCCCAGACGTCCTATTACCTATAGTATTCAAGCCAATATGCTATCGACTTAAAGGTAGACAAATACCATAGTTTTCAGACTATAAGATGCACTCCCCCGCCCAATGTGGGAGGAAAGGGGGTGCGTCTGGCAGTCAGAATGCAGCTTGCCTGGCTCGCTGTGGGGGAGGGGGCGGCAGTGGAGCAGGATCACAGGTTGTTAAATATTTCACCACGTTTTTTGCTTCAAAATTTTTTTCCCTATTTTCCTCCTCTAAAACCTAGGTGTGTCTTGTGGTCCGGTGCATCTTATAGTCCTAAAACAATGGTAGATCAATGGCACAGAACAGAAAGTCCAGAAAAATACCCATGCTTATATGGAAATGGCTTTTTAAATATTTTCATTAAATTTGGGTAGGCAAAGATTTCTCAGTACACTAAAGTTATTAACCATAAAGAAATAGATTTGGCTTCATCAAAATTAAAATGTTTTCTTCATCAAAAGATATAGCTAATTTATTTTTTTCATTAGATTTCACATATGAGTGAAATCATATGATACTTCTCTTTCTCTGACGGGCTTATTTCACTTAGCATACTTCTCTCCAGGTCCGTTTATGCTGTCACAAAAGGTAAGATACCCTTCTTTTTACAGCCAAGTAGTATTCCATTGTGTAAATCTAATGAACAACATAAGCTAACAAAAAAAACTAGACACAGACTCATACATAGATAGAAAACAGACTGACAGCTGTCAGAAGGGAGGAGGTTGTGGGGCTGGGTGAAAAAAGGTGAAGGGGTTAAGCAAAAAATAAAAATAAAACTCACGGACAATGTTATAGAATTGTACACCTAAAACCTATATAATTTTTGTTAAGATTTTATTTATTTATTTTTAGAGAGGGAAGGGAGGGAGAAAGAGAGAGAGAGAGAGAGACATCAATGTGCAGTTGCTGGGGGTCATGGCCTGCAACCCAGGCATGTACCCTGACTGGGAATCGAACCTGCGACACTTTGGTTCGCAGCCCGCGCTCAATCCACTGAGCTATGCCAGCCAGGGTAAAACCTATATAATTTTATTAACCCATGTCACTCCAGTAAATTTAATTAAAAGTAAAATAAAACAATAAAAAATAAAGACAGTTAAGAAAATCAAAGGCAAACTGAGAGAAAAATGTCTCCAGTACATAAATCAAACTAAACACTTCTTTCCACAATATATAACAAACTCCTACACAACAATAAGTAGTAAAAGACAACACAGGAATCTAAATGGGCCAAAGGCTTGAACAGACACTTCACAAAATAAGATAGATGAATAACCAATAAACATGTGAAAATGTGATCAGTATCATCAGTCATTAAGAAGTACAAATCAGCCCTGTCTAGTGTAGCTCAGTGGATTGAGCTGAGGTCTGCGAACCAAAGGGTCACCAGTTCGATTCCCAGTCAGAGCATATGCCTGGGGTGTGGGCCAGGTCCCCAGTTGGGGGCATGTGAAGGGCAACCACACACTGATGTTTCTCTCCCTTTCTTTCTCCTTCCCTTCCCTTCTCTCTAAAAATCTGAATAAATAAAATATTTTTTAAAAATCACTGCATGCTTTATAAAAAAATACAAATCAAAGCTATTTGAGATACCACATCAAACATTAGAATGGCTGAAATTAGAAAGGCTATATTAAGGACTTTGAAAAACAATTTGGCAGATTCTGTAATGCTTAAACACACTCTTACACAATGACCCAGCAAGTCCAATCTTAGCTGTTTCCCCGAGACAAATGAAAACATCTTGCCACAAAAAGAACAGCAGCTTTATTTACACTAGTCCCAGACTGAAATCAATCCAAATGTTCACCAACAGGACAATGAATAAACAGATTGTGATAGAAACACACCATGGAATACTCTCTACAATAAAAAGGAGCAAACTTCTAATCACTCAAAAACATGGAGGATGAGCAGAAGAAGTCAGATACATAATAAGCATACATGATGTATTATTCCATACATGAAATCCAGTAACAAGCGACAGTAACATATGGTGACAGGAAGACAGCAATGTCTTGTCTCTGGGGCTGCAGGGGTCCTGGTGGCCAGCTTGTGGGCTGTGGAGTAGAGGGTCACTGTCCTGTCACTGTTCTTGTGTTTCACACAAGTCAGTTTTCAGCACAGTGTCTCCCTGGCAACACTCAGTGATCTTAAGGGTCCACAGGGCGTATCGTTGTTTTCCTGACCACTGGGAGGATCCTCCACCTACAATAGCCATTACTGCTCCTCTGACCACACGTTGTCCTACAGATTTTGGTTAAAATCTCTCACCTACTCGTTGTGCCCGTCATTCCCTTTGTCATGGGGAACCCAGTTCCTTTATTACCATTTTAGTGGGGTTCCTAATAAAAGAGAAAACAAAAGTTTCTCTTTACCTTCCATCCTTAACCAGAAACTTTTTCTTGCAGGAATTGGACACAGTTACGTGACATTATTATTCCCTGATACTTATGGGGGACTGGAAAGTGCCAATAATTATTTTCTGGTTTGATGAAAAATAATTGTATGTGTCTTCATAACATTTAGGAATACAACATGTGGATTAAAACAGTATTATGATAGTAATAAAATTATCAACTAAGAACCAGAATTAGACTCATGTTTACAATTAGTTTCACCAGAAACAACAGCGATTTCTGAAGTTCAGGTGCATGGAAAGATTCACCATATATAACAAAGCACAAATAGATTTATATTAACACAAAGCAAAAGCCCCAGAAGAAATTATTGCTATTCTTGTGAAATACTCAATTTATATTATACCATATCTTTTTCAAGCTACACCTTGTCATTTATGAACTAATTTTATAATGCAGGATGTTATGTCTCTTAACTGCTATTGGTCAGAGAGGGGACACCTTGTTTTTAAATTTGAGATTTATCTTCTATTTGTTGTTAAGTAAGATGCATGCTCAAGGTTAGATTCTATTGTTATTCCTTGTTTTATACGATGTTTTATTTCTCTGTGGATGATCTGTTTACTCCATAATTTTGTACAGATTTAAAATTTTTAATTAAAAAAATTTCAGCTATGTAAAGATAGCTTTACAATGGCTTTGACTGGGACAGACTGAACTGGAGTTTTCTCAGTTTTGTGTTTAAGTCTTTCTCAATTTCCACCTTTATATTCTTTCTTCCTTTAAATCTTTTTTTATTGTTTTAATTTCATTTATTTTTCTCTCTACTCAAGACCAATAACTTTACCTATGTTGGTTCTTCACAGCCTGCCCTTAATGTATAAAATCCTGCAGCCTCCACAAGCATCTCAAAATCTTGATGATCTTTTCCATACCATGTCCTTCCTCCCTAGGATGTCCACAGAAGACCAGAGTAGAGATGAAAACCTGATCTATGAAACTGTTTACAAGCACTTCAAAAGACATAAGACTGAGATTGCAACTGCAATAAAAAAAGAATTTCCTTTCCTTGAGGTACTTCGTGACCGTGAAATTATCACCGAAAAAATGTATGAAGTAAGTAAGGTTTATTATGTAACAGTCACTTTGTAGCCATACAAATAAACAGAAATTCTAAAACTTTGCATGAGGAAAATATCTATGTAAGGAAATTGTAAAAAATTAACAATAAAATCATTTTCAACGGCTCTTCCATAACTTGGAAGACTATGTTTATAGTTTCTTCGTTTTTATTTCTTCAGGATTGTCAAGAATCTTGTCGAAACCTGGTCCCTGTACAGAAAGTGGTGTACAATGTTCTCAGGTATCTGGAGAACAAATTTGACCTGCCAATTCTGGAAGCATTGTTCACCGACGTCAACAAACAGGAATACCCTGAATTAAACAACATTTACAAAAGCTTTGAAAACGGTATTTAGGTTTATTACCTACCTCTTGATACACAAGGATAATCTTGTTTTGACAAGCATATATTTATTTCCTACCATGGGTCACACACAGTGGTGGGCAGCGGGGACATGCCAGTTAAGAAAACGGACATATCATGATCCTTCTCAAGGCCTAGGGTATAATAACTATAGTGTAACACCCACCCCGAGGTCTTCTTAACTAGGCCTTTAGAGTCACACAGGACAACCACAGCCACAGTGGCATCAGGTGTGCGAGGAAGGACAAGTCACAAGGAATACAACATCCCAATAAGGCATCATCAGTTGTTGCTTTTCTCTGGGACCACTTGCAGTGGCCCACACAGCCGTCCACCAACTTGAATACTGCTTGCCTTGAGTGACAGCTTAGGTATTAGTGCAAGATTTACCCTGATTTAGCCACACCATACCCAGGGGAGTCAATGTCTCATGTAACAACTCTGTAGTCATGACTTACAGAGACACCACAAGGGACAGCTGAGTTAGTTCCAAGAGTCACCACATTGGAGGAAGACCAAAAATGGCTTATAGTTTACATCTAGTCCCTCCTAGTACACACGCAATTTATCTACCTATAGTCACTGGTCATTTTTCACACTAAACCCAACGTTGGCCTAGTAACACAGAGGAGAGGCCATTTTCATCAGGTTTCCAAAGTAATGAGCCACAAAATTAACCCAAAGTCAAATTTGCTCTTAAAGAAAGAGAAATGGGTTTATTCCTGGGATGACAAAGCACCCATGCTTCCCACGATCTTGTCCGTCAACTAACCAATGGGCATGGTCCCAGGAGGAGCTTTCATCAATGGCCTGGGTAGCCTTTACCTCCTTCCAGAGTCTCATCCTTCCTGGACTTTCCATGGACACACACACACAGACTTCTTGGTTTATTTTCTTCCTCCTTACATTTTCTGGGTCACCTCCATGCAGAGGCCCTGGGCTGGTGCTCTCTTCTCTCCTCACTGGCAGCCTTCTGTGGCCCTGGTCCAGGCATCTAGGGACATCCTCCAAGGATGAACTATCCGCCTCCTGCTCGCAGCTTCGGTGTCCTTCCTTTGTTCCTGGAATCTGTGCCCCCGGCACCAGGTCTGTCTACTTCCACCAGTGTCTTCTGGTCTGTCTCTTGGGGAGACACTCATCCTCCCTGACCCAATTAAGTCCAATCCTTCTCTTCTTCAGGCCCATCTTTAGAGCTGTTGGGCTTTTTCTTTTATACATGTGGATCTCTCTAGGACCCTAGTTCATCTACTGAAGTCTCCCTCTATTTCTTCATTACAGTTTGAGCAGTTCAGAAAACACATTTCACTTCCAGTACTGATTTTGATATACGCTTTCCCAGCCATATGAATTTTTTTCACATGAGTTAACAGGTTCACAATGTTTTCACAGTTCCTTTATTCTGACATTTGAGTGGCTCCTTTCTGTGTGAGAAATGTAAAGTATTGCTTGTTGGGGGTTCTTTTTTCTGTCTATCAATGATGGGGAACTTTACCATGAGGATGGGAACCCACTCAGCTATGAGAGATCAAAGGTCCAGAAATTCCTAAGCATGTAAATTTGAGGTGATGTCCCTGTTCATTGATGAAATTCACTGATGGTCTTCTCTCTCCATTTTCTCAGCAATCCACGAGAAACTTTGTTACCAAGAGAGTGATGGAGAAGAGACTGTGGAGAACCTTAACACCCCATTGAGCCTTGAACAAGGTGATTGCAGCCAGATAAAGACTGATTCTCATCTGCTAAGAGGAAAGGAGAAACGCAGATGGGCCCTGAGTCCCAAGTGGATTTGAGGAATCAGGGAAGAACTGCTGAGGAACTCAGAGAAGGCAGGGAGGGGTGTTCACATGAGTGGCAAACCACAGGCTGATCCCAGAGGAGCAGCTCTGACAAGAGACCATAGGCCCAATCATCAGGACAAAGGAACAGGAACCCAATGAGTCAGGAAACCAGGTTTAACAAGAAGGTTGACCTGGAAGTAATTGTGATTTATAAAGACCCTGTAGCAGATTGAAACTGTGAAGGGCTAAGAACTGTGGGTGCAGGGTCAGCATCACACAAGAGATCCTTGATGATGACAGAAAACAGGACTGATTTAAATATGGGGGAGGCTGTTCAAGAGCAGAAGTATTCAAGGAGATGGGCAGTCATATGGGGAGAGAGGAGGGGAAGTGGTAAGATGTCAAAAAGAAGATGTAGGTGCTTTGAGACAAAGAAGAAAAAGGGGAAATGAAAGGCAGGAGAAGAGGGTACTGGACACAATAAAACAACCATATTATTAAGAGCTCACTTGATTGAACATTTAATCTGGCAGTTGTGGGCTTAGTGCTCACACCTGCCATCAGAGGTTAGTCTTACTTTCACACTCATTCTGCAGTTAGGAGGCTGAAGTCTAGAGAGACCATGTGTGTCATTGGCCTGGGGTCAAATGAGCAGGATGGACCCAGACTCTGAACCCAGAGCCTGTGTTCGTAATCCTGTACACACCCAGATACGTTCATGGAAAAGACAGAAGCATGAAAGAAAAACAGAGAAATATATGAAGAGAGATACATACAGAAAGAAGAATACAAGGATCTGGGATAAGTGCAGGAGAATCAGACAGAGAACCTCATGAAAGGCCAACAAGGCAGAGAAACAGGCATGCAGAGGCAGGGTGTGGTGTGGTGTGAAGGGAGGGAGGATGAGGCACCAGGACTTTGTAGGAACTACAGGAAGGCCACCAGTCAGGGTCAACTCTGGGGACAAAAACTGGTTATGGCCATGGGTACCAAGAAACACCAGTGCTGTTTACTCCAGGTGCTCATGGAGGACACTCAGTGAGAAGAAATGGCCAAGGCCCTCTTGTCCCAAAGAGGTACTTGGGTCTGATGGTAAGAGTCAGGTGGGATCCTCCAGGTCCCTGTAGTCTCTGTATTGACACCTGAGGGGAGGGGATCTTCAAGTCCTACTTTATAAGGATTAATTAGGGATTAGCAGAGAATAGCATTTCTGAAATAAACTTTAGTTTCTGAAATGAATTTCTAATTTCTTCTCCCTAGGACCCAGTGGGAACCCATATCCAAGACTGTCCTGGAACAGCCCACATCGCTCAAATTACAATGGTGCGTTCCTAGTAACTGTTTTGTGATCATTTGCTGTTCTTGCCCCATGCTGGCATGGGCAGTGGTGGGACAAGGGCTGCTTCTTTTTAGTACTGATTGCCCAGAAGGGCCATCCTTTGCATCCGCAGTTTTCCCAAAGAGTTATATAAAAGAGCCTTCATTTTCCTGGTTGCTGGGAGGGCTGGTCCTTCCATGCTCCTTAAATGCACATGCTGCCAGCTCCCAACAACCAGGGCCTGGACCCGTTGCCCATGCACCTGGCTTCACAGTCTTCTGCCTCTGTCTCGCTTGACTCTGGCTACAGCCTTGCTTAACATCACATCCAGTGGTGGCCAGCACTGCAGAGAGAGGGGTGGGGTAAGGGTGATACGTGTTCCTCCTGAGCCAGGGTCTCTCACCTGTTGGGTCCCTCACACAGGACAATGGACACCATGTGAATCCCGTGCAACCCGCCTCCCATCATCTCCAGGGCAGCAGGCCAGGAGCTGCCCACCAAACACCTGACCAGACTCTAGGAAAACACCTTGGTACTTTAGCGACCCATAATTACCACTTACAACCCTAGACCTTCCCTTAATCTCTAATACTCTTAATAATGTTAAGACATTAATAAAATTTAAGACATTGATCATAGAAAGTTAATTTTCTAATCAGTCACAATATCCCTTTTACAGTAATACAGACAGTATTTTATGTAATCTTCTCAAACACTTAAAATGATGGTACGTCATCTGGGTTTTTCAGAGAACAAAGAATCAGTGTAGAGACTTGGGCTGCTTCTGCAAATTCAGACACTGACAATAGGGATTGAACCTCGCCACAGGGCACTGTCAGAGGAGGAGGGCTGCTGACCCACCCCTGGCTTCAAATTCTGCCCTGTGGTCCGGAGATGTGACCCCATCTTTGTCCCTCAGTGTCGTCATCTATAAAGTGGAGATGAAAACAGTACCCACTTCACAGGGTGAGGGATGGATTTTTAACAAGTTATGTCATGTAAGCATTCACAGTCATGCTTGGGTCTTCACCAGTGCTCCTCGCACTTGTTAATATTACTGTGTTTAATATTTATCATTATTTGTCTGGTCCAGAGTCTAAGCTATTAACCACTTCAGTAAACTGTGGGATTTTCTTTTCTCACAGATGTCCATGGTGGATTTAATTATCCCCCAGGCTATGGAGCCATGATTAAAACCATACCAACCTCAGGCTGAGGAAAATAAACTGAGGACCACAGGTTCCCCACCTGAAAGCACACTAGGCGATGATAAACTCATGTCTTTATCCCTTGCCCCTCCTATGGAAATGAGTGACATGGAGGAGGCTCAGGGAACTTCCTGCACCATGGAAGGCATAATCTGTAGCTTCCGTGGAATGTGTTATTTAAGAAAGGAGGTTCAAAAGTAGTACATTTTGGGGGCCCTGGCTGGCATAGCTCAGTGGATTGAGCACGGACTGGGAACCAAAGTGTCCCAGGTTCGATTCCCAGCCAGGGTACATGCCTGGGTTGCAGGCCATAACCCCCAGCAACCTCACATTGATGTTTCTCTCTCTCTCTATCTTCCTCCCTTCCCCTCTAAAAATAAACAAATAAAATCTTTAAAAAAAAATAAGTAAAATCTTCAAAAAAATTTAAAAAAAAATAGTACATTTTTAATAAAAGAAAAAATTCCAGAGTGATTGAAAGCATAGATATACTTTTAGGAAGTCACATTTACTCAAAAAGTTGAATTTTAAAATTTTAAAATTTTAAAGTTGAATTATGAATCCTTATTAGCCATGTACCTACCAGTGCAGCCGCTGGGAACAGGGAGGGGTGAGAGGAAGGGACTGTGACAGGTAATGAGCAGAGCAGGGATTCGATGTGAGCGTGTCTGTGTCTGTGTGTATAGGAGGGTGTAGGTGGAGGAGGTAATGACATTGTAACACACTATGTGACCCTGGGGCAAACTTACCTGGGAATGAGATCCCAGAGCATCTCAGTGAGGGTGAACAATGAACATAGAGAAATTTCACCCTGCATTCCAAATGACGCAAACAAACCACCAATAAGGGTATCCAAGAGTCTGACCCAGCAGAAATGGTTGACTGTGACATGCACAGGGAAGAAGGCTGTGTCTCAACCACCTCCCCAACCCCACCAAGAGAAGGCCCAAAGGAACTGTGGCTGTGGCACAAAACATGTACCATGGCACAAGTCCTATGCTAAAATTGTGGGAATTAATATTTAAATTAGACTTCACATAAATCGCTTTGCTTAGAAAATAGCACTAAATAAAAGATCCAAACTGTACTGAAAAAAATTATGTGTCCATTCATAAATTACTGAGGTTGGTAGGGACAGAAGGGGATAGATCAATGGAATCAATAGTGCACAGAAGGGGTTCGCTGTGGGGAAGGGGTGCACAGGTGCTGGGTGGTTTACTCAGAGATTCATTCTTTATCATTCCCTGCTCTGCTCTGCCCTCTATCTCTGGCCACAGGCCCCTGCAGACTTGCTTGCCAGCTCACTTGCTACTGCTTCCTGCTGGGTTCCTAACCTGGGAGACCCTAGCAAGAGACTGGAGAGTGGAAGCAATTGAGAAGCCAGGTATTTTGCTGTCACTTTCATGGGCCTCAGTTCTGGCAGTAGCTGCATCTCCCATGACTCTACCTCCCACCAAGCAGGCAGCCATGGTCCAGCTTCTACCTACCCAGTAACCTTGGCACATGACCTCACCCTTGGTCCCTGGCATAGCTTCCTGTTCACCATTCTTCGGGTTGCTGCATTCTTCCATTTGGACATCTCACCTCTTCCATCAACTGTATAACTAATCCCCTGGATTAAATTCCCTCTGCTCTGAAAGCTTAGAGGGCTTTGTATTTTCCTGTTGGACCCTGATTGATACAGAGAGCAAATGAAATATCTGTGAATCAAAACGTGGTCTAGGTACAGCTCCACCTGAAAATGGACTCTCAGAGCACCCCTCTGAAACAGAACAGATAAATGCGAGGAGAAAAGGTACAACCAATAGCAACAATGCACCCGAAAACCGACAAGCAAATGAACAAGGTGTCCAAGAGTCTGAGCCAGCAGGTAAGACTGGGTGGCTGGGTCTGATGAGTGTGGAGGGGGCAAGGGGTACTTGCTGGTGGCAGAGAATGAAGGCACAATTCAAGGAGACATGTATTAACAAAGAGAGGGAAATCACACAGAGACACAGAATGCAGAAATGGAGCCTGCTGTATTCCTAAGAGAGACCTGGATAAAGAAAGACAGAAATAACTAGGAGACAAAGATTGAAGAGCAGCAGAACCTCACTGGGGAGGAGCGACAGAAACAAAGGTCAGGGAGAGATTGGCCGTGGAATCAATGAAGCACAATCACTTGCACTGAATGAAGGGGCAGTATATGCAGTCGGGCTATAAGCAGGAATGGGAAAAGAAAAGAGAAGCTGGTGAGGTTCAACAAAATGGTAACAGGGCAAGCCCTAGCTGGTGTAGCTCAGTGGATTGAGCACGGGCTGCGAACCAAACTGTCGCAGGTTCGATTCCCAGCCAGAGTACATGCCTAGGTTGCAGGCCATAACCCCCAGCAACCTCACATTGATGTTTCTCTCTCTCTATCTCCCTCCCTTCCCTCTCTAAAAATAAATAGAATCTTTAAAAATGGTGGTGACAGGGCAGAGCAAAGCTCTGTGGACCTCAGCTGCCGTGTTTTTTTATTTCAGAATTCTGTGAACAAGTACCCATCGAAGGGAATAATGGAGATGCAAGAAGTGAGACGCCCAGCCCATTGCCCCATAATGAAGAAGGTAATTATTACCTACCTTACTAATGATCTAAGTGTATCTTTGTTTTTCTACGAGTACAAAAGCTTTCCTTTGTTCTCCCATACTAACCACCTTTCCCACCCAGCTTAACACCACCCAGGACACACAGCCTATGCATAGCCTCTGGCTGCTTTTAACAGGAGGAAGAGGTCAGGGAGAAAGAGAGCTCATTTTTCCAGTGGAGGTGTGTCCCTACAGGAGAAGGCAAAGAGAAAGACTATGGAGGAGGCAGACTGGGAGATACCGAACAACAAAATACAAGAGTGAGATAGAGTTCACATAAATTGACATGGAATCCAAACAGGGCCGTATGGTGGAGTTGGTGAAAAGAAATAAGTTGCACTTCATTTTTAGAAGTTATAACTGAAACATGGAAGTCATGAGTGATGCTTCTGGTTAGATTTTCAAGTAAGGAAGCCCAGGTGGAGGACTTTTAGAAATAAAGTGGCAAATGGAAGGATATGACGCAGGGAACAAAGGCACAGGGGAAGAATTTGGGTGATGATTTGAATGCCTGAGATCAGGAAAATGCATGGAAAGACAAAACTGATACAGAAGAGGTGTACACAGGGCACATTACTAATTAAGGAGCAGGATAGAATGGGAAAAAGTGGAAAACATAAGTTAGGATAAACTAAAATATCAGGTAGGGGATGGCAGGGTCAGGTCTAGGGTAGGTAGGGTGACCCTGGGACACAGATAAGGAGGATCTCACTCTCGACACCTTGTGTCCTGGGTGCCACCTTTGAATCACCCTAGACCCTGCTGGGGGAAACTGATAAAAAGTGTGTGGGAAATGAGTCTGAAGAGAGAAAGATACAGAAAGAAAGGAATACCAGTAAATAGAAAAATTTGGGAGGCCTGTGTTGAGGATGAGTAAAGGACAATGAATGAACAACTGGTAGAGTGGACCAGGTATAGAGAAAGAGGACAAAGCACTGTCTGATTTGAGGAAATAGTCACAGGAAAGAAGGTGCAAGGGTCTGTTCCTAACACCATCGAGAAGGTAAGGTGTCCACAGTGATCAAGATGTTCCCAGGACCCTCTAAGATAAAAATAGGCCCCTTCCCAGGCATCTCATCCTCTCTATGGCTTCAGTCACCATTTATGGTCTGTTGACCTCTAACCGCACATCTCCAGCCCAGACCTGTCACCTAGGCTCATTCAACCAAGTGCCTGAAGATCTTTGCAGGAAGATCTCATGGACGTCTCTATGTGAAGGCTGTATCAGTTATCTCCTGCTGAGTAAGGAAGAGCCCCAAAATTTAGTGGATTAAAACAACCATGATTTTATTTGCCACTTCTGTCCATTTCAACTTCAAAATATCTCCAACCTGTCCCTTTTTCTCCATCCGCAGCACACTCACTCTAACCCAGAGCCCCAGCACTTCTCACTTCAGTAGAGGAACTGTCTGCTGCTGAGCTCCTTCTTCTCTCTTGCTCCCCTCAGTCCTTTCTCTGCACCTCAGCTTAGTGGGCCTTCCAAAAATTCAAACCAGGTCAGGTGGCCCTGCTGTTTAAACCCAATATGGTCTTGTGGCCTCAGCAGCAGGCCCAGCCTGCGCTGTGGGGACCAAAGGACACCCACCACAGCTGCGTCTTCCCACCCTTCATGCACCTTCCCTGCAAACAAACTTGCATGACTAATCTCTGCCTTTGCAGATACTTTGGAAAACAGTTTGGTGTAATCATTCAGTGGTTTTTTCAGATTTTATTTATTTATTTTTTAGAGAGAGGTGAAGGGAAGGAGAAAGAGAGGGAGAGAAACATCGATGTGAGAGAGACATCGATAGGTTGCCTCTCATACGTGCCCTGGCCAGGGACCAAACCTGCACCCAGGCATGTGCCCTGACCCAGCATTGAAACAGCAACACTTTGCTTTATGGGATGACACCTCACCCACTAAACCACACTGGTCAGGGCTGATTTTATTCTTTAATGGATAATTTCTATAATGGAATACCATATACCTGTGAAAATAAACATGCAAAATAAATACAGGCAACTGTAAATACAAAATAAACACAGACAACACATAATGTTGAGAAAATAAGCCAAATGCCCACAACCAAATGATACACAGAGAGAAGACATGATTCAATTTATACAAATTTATATAAAGTTCAGAACTGGCAACCTTAATCATCTATGATGTTAAAAGTCAAAGTGATGATCAAAATGAGCCAGATTGGTGGGGGCCGCTAGTGGCAGGCCTCACTAAGAGGCTTCTGGGTGATAGTAATCTTCTATTTCTTAACCAAAGTGGTGGTTACTCAGCTATGCTTTCTCTGTAATAATTCAAAATTTATGATTTACCCATTTGTATCCATGTATGTTTTCGTGCAAATACAATTTTTATTTTTGAAAAAGCCAAAAAAATTATCATCAAAGAAGAACAAGAGTATGTGAAAAAGAAAGCAAAAACTAAAAAACACAGAGTTCAGAGAGACACAAAGGAAGGCCAGAGCTGAGCAGCAGGAAAGGAGAGGGTGGGGGAGCTCTCCCTGCAGTGGGATTACAGGGAGAAGGGCTTAACTCTAGTGTGGGCCCTCACTCCCTTTTGGGAGACAAATGAAATTCTTCATTTCTTGCAATTTGGTCCAGGAGCGGAGTTACCCGATCAGAGAATCAAACTAAATTCCTGCTCTGTATATCTGGTGGATATAAAGAAGGAAAAGCCATTTTTTGATTCAGAACATGAAAAGCAAACCCAAACAAGGGCTCGCTGCAAGCCGGCGTTGGACATAATAGGTAAGACTGACTGAAAGAATGTGTGATGGGAATCCCAGGTACTGGGTAAGGGCCTGGGACATGTCCCCAGGGTCCACCAAAGAGATCCAGGGGACCTTGCAGCATGGAGGCAGGAGAGGCGGGAACCAGCACCTTAGCTGTGAGTTTAGCAGAAGAGGGTTCCCGGGAACTGGGAAAATACCAAAAGACAGAAATTGCATGAATAGTTATTGATGTCTGAGAGACTATTTCTAAAGCAAGGAAGTCAAGTATGGTGGTAGAAGACGAATAAGAGAGAAAATAAGATGTTAAGCAAGAAAATTAGAGAGCCAACATATTTCTCAGAGGAGAAGGAGAAAGAAACTCATGAAGAGAGACGTGATACACATAAAGTGATACCATGGCCACAAAGACAGGCTTAATTAGGGGAAATGGGCTGAGCCGAGAGGAAAGTGAAAAAGTAAATAGAGAATGAAAGAAGAGGTACAATGAACGCGGAGGTAACAGGTAGACTGGGGGTGGAGGTAAGAGGTAGAATGAAGATATGAGTTGAAGTAGAATGGGGGTGGGGGTCAGAAGTAGAGTGAGGGTGGAGGTGGGACACAGGGTGACTGTGGGGGTGAGAAGAGCTCCAGGATGGGCACAGCTGCCCTCTGTGCCTGAATCTCACACCTTCTGTGTAGGACCTGGAGCACCCTACAGGCCACACACCTTAGGGCACAGACCAGGGGGACTTGAGTTAACTTAGTTTCTAGGTCTTCCTAGTGCTCTTGTTACGGGGCTTTCTGTCTGTGGGCTCCTTGGGCCACCATGAGATCCTGAGGGGTTTTGTCCTCTGTGCAGTGATCAGCAGTGACGACTCCACAGAAATCAGTGATGGAGACGAGCCCCCGGAAGCTTCCACCTCAGCAGTGACAAGGGAACCTGGTAAGGAGAAGGGAACCTGGTAAGGAGCTCAAGGCTTGGGCTGCAGGAACCTGAAGCATCTGTTCTGAGCTCATTCTGCACAATAGACCTGGTTTATCCTGGAATCCCATTCTCTGCACTTATTTTACTTGACTTTTTTGGGAAATATAGGAAGACAATAAATAAGTATATACATAATTATTAAATAAACATATAAACATTTTTTGAGTATGATGTCTCATCAAATATGAGCATTGATGGGTCTTGTTAGTAGACATACATACCTTATATTGATTGTGTAGTAAGAATATGCTAGTGAAGTGATAAGTGTTTTTTTAACTAATTAGTTGCTATGCCTGTAAAGTGTTAGATTTCTACAATAATTTCTATAGAGAACAGAAACCTAATATCTCTTTATTGGAAGGTCATACTGTCATCTGGCCACAAAATTTGAGACATGTCTGAAGACAATTCATCCAGCCCTCTAGTGTTAACAGAAATAAAGACTTAACAGAATTCTGCAGCAAGTCATGATATATGTAGTAATTTTTCAAAGGACTTTTGCAAACAGTATCTTACTGTTTTCTTTACAACAACCCTGAGGGGTAAGCAAGTTGGATATTGTTATCTTTGTTTCTAGATAACAAAACAGGATCACATAAGTCTTTCATGATCATTTACAAAGTCTCATGGAGATAAAGGGAAAGACAAAGATTAATGTCCCAGATTCTGCATTATTTCCTTTGCAAAACTAGAGCTCAAAACAGTTAACAAAATGTTGTTTCCTCGATCCTGTGCGCAACATGAGTTGTTGTAAGCTCTGCAGCTCTCCAGTATACAGAATGGTGACTGGTTTTCCCTTCCTACTCTCTCAGAAGATACTAGAAACGTGCCTATTTATGAAAACATGCTAGGAAAAGACCTAAGAATAAATAAAATTTTTACCTGATCTTCCTGTTCCAAAGTCAAATATATTATTTTATTTTTTATTATTTTTATTTTTAATCCTCACCCAAGGATATTTTTATTGATTCTACAGAGAGAGGAAGGAATAGAGAGAAAGACAGAAACACCCATGTGAGAAACATCGATCAGTTGCCTCCTGCATTCACCCCAGCTGGGAATCAAACCTACAATCTAGGTATGTGCCCTGACCAGGGACCAAACCCATAGCTTTTGGTTCATGGGATGATGTTCCTGAGCCACCCAGCCAGGGCAAAGACCAATATTTTAAATAATATGTTTATTCTAATTGCTCTCCTAGACCTTTCAAAGTAAAATGTAAACTTACTTCAGTTTTTCAAGACTGTGCCCTCTAATTTTTGTCTTAGCGTAAACAAACTGCTCTAAAAGGTGGTCTCAAGATAGGTCTATGTCTCAGACACAAGAGAAGATTATTTCTCAGCCTTGTAAACAGTTCAAAGGGCACCAGAGTGTGGAGAGGAGGCCCTCTACCTTCAACACAAGATCTTCAAGGTCTCCCCACATGAGATACAGCAGATGAAGGAAGCGTGAAATGACAATAGAAAGGGTAAGAGGAGGAAGAGGGAGAAGTGTAGAGAGGTAAGTTTCAAACAGAGCAGTGGCTTGTCTCTGCTCTGGAGACAGGAAATGGAACATCGCTAACCTGCAAGGCAGGTGACTTAGAAGAACAGACCAGGTGGTCTATGTGCAGACTGTGATACACATGGGCTTTCAAGATTTTGCCAAGTTTTATTAGGGAATTTCCTGCTGAATTGTTTCCGTGGTCACACACTGAGGCACCTAAAGAATGCTATTCCTTTGTGCAATGATCAATAACCTTGACTCCTTGACTCCTTAGAATCAAGTGAAGAAGAAGACATCCAAGAAGCCACCTGCTCAGCAACCAAGACTGCACCACGTAAGAGTGTTAGAATTGCATTCCTGTATCAAAAATATCTAGAGTCTAAACCCAGAGCTCTGTTTCCTGATGAATCTCATTCTGATTTTCCCCATGTAGATGGATTCATTTACTTCTAGGTCATCATTTTCTGCATTTCACTTCTCTACCTCTATGGGGAAATGGCATTATAACTATTGTTTAACTTGATGAGCACAATCAATTAATATGTTGAAAATGTAGCAAAAATATTCTAGTAAAATTATACTTTTTACTATACGCTATCTTATCTATTAATACTAAAGAGTTGAAATAATATACTTATTTCCCAGCAACTTGCTTTGTATTCTACAGAGCATAGTAAGCACAGTATTTCTGTATTTGCTGGCAATATTGTCATTAGTCTCCAACTTCAAAAGTCTTCAAAGAATAATTTGTGCTGCTATTTAATCATTAACAGAGAAATAGCTTCAGCCCAACTACTCTTAGACTCAAACCATAGTCAAACCATGAGTTTACATTGTGGTTGTTCACAGGGCTTTTATGAATAAAGGTCTATTTTGTTTTCACAAAAACCTTAACAGGGAAATAGGGTACCTAGGTTATCCCAGCATTATAGATGAGGACACTGGAGATAGTAATGTTTGAAGGTCATTTACAAATTCACATGGGGAATAAATGGGAGAGCTGAGCAGGAGCCCAGTATTATGACCCTGGGCACCAGAACTGGGTTCAGTTGAGAGAAAAGGGAAAATGCTCATCTCAGGATTGAGATGATCACAAACCCTATCTGCTGTGTGATTTAATATAGAATTTGTAAGACTGTTATGTACAAAGAGATGTTTCTTCCCTCCTGCTTTTCAGGGCCCGTGAATTTCAGAAAATTAACTACATGCAGGAAAAGTCTTTGGAAAAGTGGTAAGAGCACCTAAGAACTCTTCATAGTTATAAATGAACAGTCTTTTCTAAAAATTAGCCATTCCGACTTTTTTTTAAAGTCCTTCAAAGTAAAATATAAATTTGCTTTAATTTTAGCCAGTGTGGATTTTAACTTTTGTATAAAATTAAGCTAATGGCTATAACATACAAACACAAAGAGGTCAAAGACTCAAACACAATAGAATTCTGATTGTTCTCAAGTAGACATTCCTAGGAGTACGAGACGGTGGAAGGGTGCGGCTCTATTTCACAAAGTTACTCTGGGAAGCAGCCAAGCGGGAGATCTGCCTTCTTTGATACCAGACTTCCGAGGCAGCTCTGGAAGAGGAGCAGAGCTAAAAATAAGTGTGAATGCAGATACAAAAACAACAACAGATCCATAAAAAGACAAAAAAAAAGGAGAAAGAGAATCTAGGAAAAGAAAACAGAGGGCCAAGAGGAAGCAGAGATGCCCACCAGGGATGAAATACCTCCGCCCCAGGCTCAGGGGACAGTGAGTGATAAAACACTGACCTGCGGGTCCCATGAATACAAAAAGTAGATCATGGAGGTCTGAGGGAGGGACATTCTAGCCCTGGGTTTTCAGAGCTCCCCACATTTTTGTTGTTGTAGTTGTGGTTGTGATTGTTGTGATTGTTGTTGTGGGTTTCTTTGTCATACACTGAGACCTTCAAGGGACATCTGCTCCTTCTGCAGGGAGAAGTCATGAAAGGTTTTCGGAGTCCAGTGCGGATGAGGCGCCCCCCGGAGCGTGCAGCCCTGCACTGAAAAGTGATTCTGAGGAGGAGGGTAAGGACGGCCATCGCTGGGTCCTGGCATCAGGAGTCTGAGATCAGAGCTCCTGTTCCTCTGAGCACACCACAGGGCCCGGGAGCCCAGTCCTGCCTTGATTTCATGTGGCCACTGTGAACACTGCAAAGAAAGGAAACATAGTTCAGTCTTAACAAGATGCCCCTAGTTGGAGGCAGTGTGCCTTACTGCGTGCTCAGAGACATGTCATCCCGCAGGGCAGTGGATCGCATAGTGATGTCCATCTACCCCCCGCCTGTTCTGCAGAGAGCAGAGAAAGTGGGACAGCCAACTATGGGTCAGCGTCGTCACCACCCTCTTCAAACCTCCATAGACTTTGGTCATACTCTCGCATTATCGACAGAAGGAAGAGCTTCTGGTTATTACCATAAAATTTCATTTATAGCCTTTGACAGATGACCCCCAGTGTGACATTTGCCTATAAAGCGATATTCCGAAATGGTTTTACAAAAAATATATATATTATTTTACATTTACAGCAACCTACAAGGTAGGTCAGATGACTGTTTCTCCCCTCATTCCACAGATGGGGTAACTCCCATAAATAAACATACAACAATCTTTGGTAGATCACACATGCTGAGTTAGTGGAAGAAGTAGAACATACAGCTTGGGCTCCTAGCAAACACCCAAAACCTTTCATTCAAAGCCTCTGAAGCCAGAGGTAACATAATATTTTACTATTTTAAAAAGACACTGCAGTTTATATCCTATATATTACAAAACACCTCAATAGCTTCTGGGGCAAAATCCAGTTTTATAATATACTACGAGATATTAATATTCCTTTAGCAAATTGAGAGAATTCACAAGTGCGATAAATTAAAAAGTTCACATAGACTCATGGCAGCTACGTCCAGATTCACTGCCAAATTTGTTATCTGCAAATCTATGAAAAATGTCGGTTTTCAAAACTTCTTTGATTCTGCATATGGGCTAAAGGATCGTGGGTCTTCACTTCATTTTATAATGATCTTTTTCCTGTAGATGGGCAGAGGCAGAAATAATCATCACCACATCTTCATGTTCCAAATTCTTCTACAGTGAGAGGAGTCATACGATATAACTGCTTTTGTTACAGATTACTGATTGTGTTTTCCTTTACCTCCTAGATTTTCTGGATTTTGGAAACCAGTCTACTTGCGAGATGAGCAATAAGAAAAGACGTAAGAACAATTAAAACTCTTGATGAAACAAGTAGCTTTCTTTGCTACAAAAGCTTCAGTCAATGTTTCCGTTATAGCCCTTAAAAAAGTAATTTGTTGGGATTTTAGATGATACACATTATACGTTTTCCATTGGGTGGGCTGGCTAATTGGTATAAAAGTTCAATGACACAAGAGCAATCCAACTTTATTCTTCACTCACATAAAGGATAAAGTGGGTCGGGGGTGGAGGGGTGCTCTGCTCCATATGATCTTTGAGGGCCCAGCTGATGGAAGATTTGACATCTTGAAAATACTGCTTCCACTGTTCCCCTGGATAAGAAACAGAGTAGAGGCAGAAGAAGTAGGTGCAGACAAGTGGAAAAGGTGTAAGACACGATGACAAAAGGGAGCGCCTTCCATAACAAAGTTGTCCCCTGTCCTTGGGGATGGTTCCTGGAGCCACCTCGACCAACAGGTCTGATGGAGCCCCAGGGTGGGCCCGCAGTAACAACATTCTTACCCCTGCTACACAAGCCTCCCTTGTCCAGTTCCTGTGGGTTCTGTGCTGAGTTGGTTCCTACGATGCAGAGGGAGACTGCTACTGAATTTTTTTCTTTCTGCAGGGATCAGCACTGGTGACTCTCCAAAACTGAACAGTGAAGAACAGCCTCAGGAAACTTTTCACTCAGCCCGAAGAAGTTGGTCAGGTAAAGAAGATTAAGATGCCAAGCCTTGGCCTGCGAATGTCAGGAATCTCAATTAAAAACTGTTTCCAGATGCATTTTTATTCTGAGCACCTTGAAGACATTGTGCCCAGTTATTCCTGGGAACTCCTTTCAGTGTTCTAGGAAATGGAAGGAGGCAGGAAATTACTATAAATTCATGTTTAATGAGATGAGTCCCATCGACTAAATGTATGTATTATGTATCTCTGTTGTAAAAGAAATAAGTACCAAAATGATGACATCTTTTTTAATATTTACTCTCATGCCTGCTTAGATTAAGATCTTAGACATTGAATAGTAATGTATTGATTAACACCAATATCATTTTCAATTGTAAAATCGCAATAGAGAACTGGTTCTGCTATGTAATTATAGACAGAAATAAAAGTTTCAGATCACTCTCAAACTTTAGTATAGTTTTCTATCATATTGTAATTGGATTACATCATGTTATTTTAAAGTACTTTGGCAAACAAGATCTCACTCTGTCATCACAAAATCCTTAAGATCTAGGCAGGCTAACTCTTGATAGCCCCTTTTTGGGGGTGAGGAAATTGATGTACAAGTTTTATAATGTTTACAAAGGGTGGGTTTGTATGTAACATGATCAAAGTCCAAAGTGGAGGTACAAGGGATCTCAGGAGGTAGAAGGGGCAATTCACAGGGGAATGTATGGGTGTCTGATACAAGAAAACTTATTTAACAACATTAAATAAATAAATAAATAAATAAATAAATAAATATGGGTGTTTGTGAGTATATATCTATATATATACACACACATATATGTATATATAGGTAGGTATATAACAATCAATATTGGTATGGATGCTGAAATATATATATATATATCTTGATGGAAAGGTGAAATGAAAATCATAAAGAAACAAAGAGGTAGGAATAGAGCCAGCTATATGATATATAAACCACCTAGAATAATAAGCTAAAAAGAATAGATGGAGAACTAAAAAATGAGCCCAGATTAACAGCATTGTTGATTTTAAAAAAAGAGAAACAGACATCAGGGACAGAGAAGCTCACAGAATCAACATGATGGAGCTAGAAAACGTGTAAGTCAGACAATGCACAGAAAACTGAGAAATGAGAGGAGAATGAGGCATGACTAGGTAGAAAGAGAGACGACAACTATGTGCTGTGTGTGAGGTATAGTCATTGGAGTAGGTGTACTTTTCCTTTGCTCATCTGAGGTGTGAATATAATTCAGCATGACCACATTGAAGTGTGCTTCCTGGTCTCCATCTGTTGTGTGTCATTTTCTTACTTCCCTTCAGTGTCCTGTGAACTCAAAGCTCTTCATATGAATATAGGAAGAGAGTCAGATGAGACGCCGGCCAGTGAGCATGTGGGGAAACCATCTGTGATACTGCTTATCAGTTACCTTTGTTTCTCTGTCTGCACAGAGGAAAAGCTCTTTCTTCTTTTACCTACCTCTCCCCAAAATCATTGCTGTGTGTGAGCACACACTCGTTTGCAGACAGACCTGGGCACAGAGTAAGATCACATCAACTGATTTGAGGAAGCCAAAGAGAAAGAAGGACAGGACTCCTGAATGGGGGTGACACTGGGTAGATTACTGAGGAGGAAGAGTAGAAAAGATAGGCTGGGGTTCACCAAATAAAAAGAAACCTAAGGAGGCTTCAAGTTTTTCTAAGTGAACATGAAATCCAAATATCACCAGAGGGGGCTTCTGTGGGGGGAGAGGAATGATTTTCAAGGTATGTCTCAGAAGTTCAGTAGAAATATGGTAATAAAGTCCGAGACTGACTGACAGACCTGCAACGTAGAAAGCTCATCGGGAACTAGCTAAAGCAATAGCAGTCAACAGTGCGGTCAATGTCAAAAAATCAGGCATACAGTGGCAATGAAAGTAGAAATCTGTGAGATGAAGTCAAACATAGTGAAGAAAATATAGAGACAAAGGTTGCAATTCTAAAAACAGCCAGAAGATCAAGAGAAGATTGAGAGAAGGGAACTGACTGTGGAAAGAGGAGTACTTCAATAATAAAACCAGATTCAGAGATAGAAGCATAGAAAAATAGATGGGAATGAGGTACTTAGAGTGGGTGATAAATGGAGAGGAATTAGATAAGGCACAATAAGACCTATGTAGAGAAAGGGTTATAATATGAGAGAAAAATGGTAGAGAAGAAGGGCCAGTGTCAAAGGGAGAGAGGAGGGAGATGCAGAAATTGTGGGATCTGAGATGACCATAAGGCCAAAGCAACATGTGCACGTGGGGTGATTCACACGAGCAATGAGTTTTCAGAGTAAGGTGTCCCCAGGTATCAAAATGGCCCCTGGAACTCCCCCAGATTACTAGAGACCTCACCAGGCATTTCATCCACTCTTAAGGCTTCGATCAGCATCCACAACTTAATTGGTTCCTAAACATACAACTCCAGGCCAGCCCTGTCTTCGAAACTTCTAAACTCACTCATCCAAGTTTCAGAAAGACCTCTGGTCAAGGTCCTGAAGGCCCTAGCCTTCTCTACTTAAATGCCTTTCAATATGAAACTCAACACTTCTGAAACTGAGCACATCATTTTTTCCCTAAAACCAGCAACTGCTTCCTGTTCTCTAGCTCTAGAACACACTATTAATTTGCCTATTCTTTCAAGTTCATATTCTCAGAGTCGTCAGTGACATCACCATCTCCTGAATCAACACAGCCTTCTGTAACCTAACTCGATGAATTCTTCCTTTCAAGTGCCTCCACCCTGTCCATTGCCATGCTGTCACTAATCAATATCTACCTTCCTTCTCACTGGAACTAGAGCTACAAGCTGCTACTTGTCCTCCTGCTCCTAATCTTGGTCCCACCAGATGTATTCTAAGTGACTGAGCTAAGCTGATCTTTCTCAAATATATCCGTGCTGCTTTCCTACATAAAATCCAATGTCCTTTACTTTCCTTTAGGATTAAGTTATTTCTCTTTGTGGCCCTCAAAGCTACCTACCTCAAGGATCCTGCCTCTTTCTCCATCATCATTGTTGCCATTAACTTTTCTATTGCACATTCAGGCACCTGAAACTCCTCACGTTTGTGGAATGTAGACCTTTGCCCATGCTTCTCCATCCATTTAGGGCTATTGTCTTGGTCCCTTTCCTCCCTGATCTGGCTAACTCCTCCTTCCATGACACATCCTTTGGAAGAGATGCCTCATCACAAACGAAGCTAGTTCTTCCTCCCTTATCCCCACTCCAGAGTATTCTGTGCAATCTGTGTTCTAACATCCAAGTTTCAATGTATTCACTTGTTTATGTGTCAATGTCATAGTTGCTCTGCAAGCATTGACACTTCATTATGCCTTACATTGTTATCAACATTCATTCACCCTACATTGGGCATCAGCGTCCATCTCAGCACCTAGAACATGAGTGAATGGAAAGAATCAGTCACTCTCTGAATTCCAACATTTAGAAATTAGTCTGGCAAAACTTTAGAGTATTTATATGAAATATTACAAAAATTAATAATTATATATACATATGTATGGACTTATAAATGTAACAGTATTTCTGGAAAAATAGCATCACATATAAATAAATACAAATTTTTGTTAAAAATGCCATTAAGGGATAGATGGGAGAAGCACATAAAGGAAAATTAGAGAAACAAAGATTGCAGGTCAGGGCAAAGAGAAAAAGATAATAGAGAAAAAACAGTTTGAAAGGAAGGGACAGAGATGATGAGGAGCAACAACAAGGAGATTTCAGAGGCTGAGCCATGTTTTGAAGTACGGGTTGGGGGGAAGGATATTGAAGGGTATGGGGTACAAAATAAAATTGCAAATTAAAATTTTTTACAAATCACAACATAGGAGCAGAGCTCCGAGGACTTGGAAATGAGAAGTGTCCCTGTGTCATGTGTGTATCAAAAGGTGTGCCAAGAGGCCAAGAAACAAGGACTGAAAATAGCCAAGCATCTGATATGGGTAAAGCTACCCAAGGGTCTTGGGGTAGAGGTGATTCAGCAGATACCACAGACACTTAGGACATCAGTGATAGATGGTCAGGGTTCAAGGACCACATGAAGCAGTTCACCAACAGGGACTACATCAGTTATGAAGGTGGGAGTCACACGACCCAGGCTGCAGGGTGTCAGGAGTCTGAAATCAGGAGTCTGAAATCAGAAAACAAGGGATCCAGTCCATGTCAGAATCTCGTTTTCCACATTTGCTTGACCTAACCCTTTTGGAAACAGCAGGAAGGCAGGAGATCATGATTATAGTCATGTTTAACAGAATGGATCCTGTTGATTTTATGTGGATGGTGTAGTAGAAATACACTGATTAAAAAACGGCAGTATCTTGTGTACTACATGAGCATATCAATTTTTGGATTTATATAGTGACTTCCACCTTTGTTCATGCAGCAAAGAAATCCAGGTGTTCTTCTGTTGGAAGATAGCAGTGTCACAACCCTGAAAGGACCTCAAAAGGCAAATAAATGGTGCTGCTACCTGCCAGGAACAAGACCTCAAATAACTATTCTTAAGCTCAACATACAGTTTTGAAGGCTGCCCTGCAGCATCTACTGATGGATGCTAAGTTAGTAGAGGAGGCAGAACTTACAGTTTGGTCTCCTAGCAAACATCCAAAATCTCTTATTCAAAGCCTCTGAAGCCAGATGTAAAATAATATTTTATTGTTTTAGAAAGACACTGTATAGTGGTTTCTCATTAACTTTTCAAATAAGATGATATTTAATTGTCACTAAGCAATCTAAAGCCTAAAACAGGATAAAGCGGGATCTAAAACAGGATAACTTTTACCACCTACCTGTTTCATGAGTCAGGATCACTGACGCACATAAGTAATGAAGAGTTTTTTCAAAGCCTCAGAGAAATAAAGACTTTAGATATCAATATGTATCGGATTCATTTAATTTTTTTTTGAGACAGAGAGAGGGAGAGACATCAATTTGTTGTTCCACTTACGTATGCATTCATTGGTCGATTCTTATAGGTGCCCTGGCTGGGGATCAAACCCACAACCTTGGGGTATCAGGATGACACTCTACCAACTGAACTACCCAGCTAGGGCTGTTTAATATTATTTAGATAATTAGACATCATTATAAACTCAAGCCTTCCACAATGTGAATTGTCATAAGATTTGTAACTTTTATATGTGAGCTATTTTTATCTGACCACAACCTGTTACTTTCCAGATATCATGGATATTGGAAGAAATTCTACTTTGGAAAAACACAGTGGAAAAAGAAGTAAGAGTGAATAAGAATTTATTTGATTTTTATGTCACAGATTAACTATTTTTTAATGCTAAGTTTTATTATAACTATTTTCCATGCCTTTCATAAGACCAAAAGAAGTGCCTTTTAAAGTAACTATGTTTTTCAAAATGCTCATATCTTTGTGTTGGTTTTTATTCTGATTTTAAAGTATTTGTGGCTTATAAACATTGGTGTATATCTCTCCAGAGTTTTTCTATGCATGGATGAGTACATTTTGGAATATAGTTTTATTTATCTAACTAGGTTAATTGTATGTATACTTTTCCTTTTTTTGCTTTTTAAAATTAATATATCACACCTAGACAATAAAAACATTTAATATTTTAAGAGTTACAAAGAGTCTTATTTAAGGCTGCTTTAACATGCACTACTTTCATTTTCAGTGTGGTTGAGCATTTTTTATTTGTTTTGGTCATTTGTTGTTTTTCATAGAACTCTGTCACAGAATGCTGTGTCCATGCTTCCTGTTACGATGCTTGTCTTCTTGTGATGCTGCACATATAGAGAAACTTTTTTTTAGAAATTCTTATGTATGGTTATATATGTTGCTAGTATGTTGTCCAAATTGTTGTTTTTATTTTTTATTTCTTAATGTAATCTTTTGTCCTGGAGAAATTATAAATGTATAGATAGTCAAATTGTCACCTCTTTCTCTCTAATTCTTAGGTTCCCTATCATATTTACAAAAGCCATGTCTAGCTGAAGAGTTTTAAAATATTATTCTATACTTGATACTTATATATTTGAAGTATCTGATCATTTTTAATGTCTACATCTATAATCCCTGAGTTTTGCTTCTTTGTGTACATGTGAAGTGGGAATCATTAAAATATTCCCTCCATTACTACATCATGGTTGGAATACCTCTTTGATCACAGCATGCCTTTACCTGTCTATCTACTAGTGTTTGTTTTGGAATGGAAGGTTCTACAGAAAAGAAAGTTGATCTCAGAGGTACCACCATCCTGATGACTCATTAGGGATGAATTTTAGAATCAACTCAAAGAGATTTCCCTCATCTCCTTCTCAAGTTCATTGGGACCTTTGCACAGAAATGAATTGGATCGCAGTTTAATTTGGAGAAGACAGAGATTTCTACCCATTTATTCATATGCTATTTAATGTTCTTCCACTAAGAAGTTTCATGTTCTTTTTTTTAATTATATTTTGTACAAATTTGTTTCTTATTATGAATGTCTTGTTTTCCCATTACAGAAGAGCTGGAGGGAATTTAAATGAAACAAGACTCTCAAAATCTTTATTTTAATAGAAAATTTATGATCATTTTATTGCCTACTTATATGAGGAAATCAGAATGCTAAGGATTTTTTTTCTGATTTAATATGAAATCTTACAAGCATGTATACAGTTTAGAGATCCAGGCATCACTTAAAATAGTATGGCCAGTCCCAAAAATTATCAAGACAACCAGTCAGAATTAACTGTCTTAGGACATTGGTTTCATGAGAAGTAGGAATAATTTCTGATTTGAGGGAGTATTACAAGACCCCTTGAAATAATTCTGCCATGGACAAATTTATATTAACAGAGAGCAGAACAAATTGGTGATAATTACAAGTAGACACAGCTCCATATTTTATAAGACTTATCTTCTTATGAACTTTCTCAGTCCAACACTGTTAAATCATATCTATAAGTATATTTATGTATCTATTTATTTATAAAACATAATAAATATGATTATAAATTCTATATAAATATATTGTGTGAAATATTTATATATTTCCTACATTAAATATGAAATATTTCATGCATTTCATTAAATATATATGATGTGTATATAAATAAAATAATATGCATATAAACATATATTACATGCAATATATTGAAGATATACATCTATATATAAAACTCCAATGTATTTCTGACCATCTGGATGGCCCCCCATGTTTCTAGGAAAGTATACATACCCAGATCTAGTCACACTCAGGAAAGGCCTGAGAAAGCCCTGAGCTCCACCCTGGGCTAGCCTTGAGGCTCTGTGCAAGCAGGAAAGGAGAGATAAGGCAGAGCTGTAAACTGCCCGGCTGTGTGTTGAAGGCATGCACCAACACTTGCACAGAGCCCCGCTGACAAAGACTAGGAGAGATATCAGTTCTAGGTATTTAAGGAAATTTCTTTCCAATCACTAGCTGACTAACTAAACAGAGACTTCAGTGGCCACATGGCAAAACGTACACAGTTTGCTAAATCAGTTAAGAAAAAATGTACTGCAAGCATACATCAGAAATATTGCAAATTTGGTTCCAGACCACTGTAATGAAGCAGAATTGCAATAAAGTGAGTCACGCTAATTCCTTTGTTTCCCGATGCATGTAAAAGATGTTTAGACTATAGTGTAGTCTATTTAAAGTGTGCAATAGCATTATCCAGAAAAACAATGTACATATCCTAATTAAAGAATATTTCATCACTAAAAAGTGCTAACCATTCTCTGAGCCTTCAGGGAGTCACAATCTTTTAACTGGCAGAAGGTCTTGCCTCAGTGCCAGTGGCCTCTGACTGATAAGGGTGGTGGTTGCTGAAGGTCTGGGTGACTGCAGCAATTTTTTAAAATGGGTCAACAATGAAGTTTGCTGCATTTATTGTGACTCTCTTTCACAAATGATTTCTCTGAGGCATGTGATATTGTTTGATAGCATTTTACCCACAGTAGAATTTCTTTCAAAATTGGATTCAATGGTCTCAAGCCTTGCCACTGTCTTATCAACTAATTTTATGTAACATTCTAAACCTTTTGTTGTAATTCAACAATCCTCACAGCTTCTTCACTGTGTGTAGATTCCATCTCACGAAACCACTCATCCAAGAGAAGCAGCTCCTCATTTGTTACAGGTTATCATGAGATTGCAGCAATTCAATCACATCTTCAGGCTCTGATTCCATTTCCAGTTCTCTTGCTATTTCCACCGCATCTGCAGTTGCCGTCTTCACTAAGCTCTTGAACCCTCAAAGTCATCCAGGATAGGTGGAGTCAACTTCTTCCAAATTCTAGTGAATGTCGGTATGTTGACCTCTTCCTATGAATCAGGAATGTTCTTCATGGCATCTATAATGGTGAATCCTTTCCAGAAGACCTTCCATTTACTTTTCTCAGATACGTCAGAAGAATAGCTATCCATGACAGCTATATTCTTATGAAACGTATTTCTTAAATAATAAAACTGAAAGTCAAAAATTACTCCTTGACCCATGGGCTGTAAAATGGATATTACCTTAGCAGGCATGAAAGCAACATTAATGTCATTGTGTATCTTCACCCAAGTTCTTGGGTGACTAAGTGCACTGTCAATGGGCAGTGATATTTTAAATGGAATCCTTTTTTCTGAGCAGTAGGCCTCAACGGTGGGCTTTAAGTATTCAGTAAACCGTGTTGTAAACAGAAGTGCTGCCATCCAGGCTATGTTGTTGCATCTATAGAGCACAGGCTGAGTAGATTTAGCATAATTCTTAAAGGCACTGGCACTTTCAGAATGAGTAATGGCTTCAGCCTAAAGTCATAGCTGCATTAGTCTCTCACAGGAGAGTCAACCTATCCTTTGAAGCTGCAGGGGTGTCCAACCTGCAGCCCACAGACCACATGCAGCCCTGGATGGCTATGAAGGCAGCCCAACACAAAATCATAAATTTACTTTAAACATTATGAGATTATTTTTATGATTACATGTTGCAATGGATTTAATGTGTGGCCCAAGACAACCTATCTTCTTCCATTGTGGCCCAGAGATGCCAAAAGGTTGGCACCCCTTCTGCAAAGCCTGCACTAACTTCTCTTCTCTAGCTGTGAAAGCCCTACATGGAATCTTCTGTCAGTGTAGAGCTGTTTTTTCCTACATCGAAAACCTGTTGTTTAATGTAGCCACCTTCATTATATATCTTCGCTAGATCTTCAGATAACTTCCTGCAGCTTCTGAATCAGCACTTGTGGCTTTACCTTCCACTTTGATGTTGAAGAGATGGCTTCTTTCCTTCAACCTCATGAGCCAGCCTCTGCCAGCATTCAAAGCAAGCCCGTGAATCACAGGGTGTCTGAGATCTGTTGCTCCTTATTCCCCCTGGCACTTCTCATTTGCTGTCAGCTTCTGCCTGACTTCAGCTGCTCTTTATATTTTCCTTATTGTGAATGAGAAAACCTCATGTGAATATGTACTAATAAAGGCACACTGTCCATGACTGGTACTGTGTAGCTACCAGTAGTGGACTGGTGGGGTGTTTTTGTTTCTACTGTTGTTTTCAGTGTGGTGACAACAAAGAGGAGTCTTGGTAGCTGGGAATTTAGCCCCGCAAAAATTTGAATGAAGACAAAAATAAGATACTCGAAGATTGCTGATGTATAAAGCTTGTAAATCTCTGTTTATAATCCTAAGTGATTATTTTCTTTTCTGTTTAAAGGAGAAAAGAGAAAACACATAGATAAAACTAAGAGTTTTCTAAGAGGTAAGAATAAATGTGGGGATTCACACGTGTGAGCTTACTGCAGACCTGACCTTTCTGCTGGGCCCTCTCTTTGCCACAGCCCCGGAATCTTCTGTGGGTTTCATAACTAATGAATTGCTTAGCCTACAGGCTGAATCCTTGTAACAGAGAGAACCTAAAATACTGTGGCTTAAATCACATCATTCGTTTCTTTTCCACCTAACAGCCCAGAATGGTAGGAAGAACCTGCCTTTCTCAACATATGGTTTCCCTCTCCGAGTCCAAGAAAGCTGACCTGGCTGCCGTTGCCTCCCCACCAGTGGGCAGAGGAGAAATTAGAAGGGAGAGCACCCATCTATTTCTTTTCATGGAAAGGCCCAGAGTTTTCTGCTCGTATCCCCTATCCCATTAGTCAAACTTAGTCGCAGAGCCAGAGCTATTTGTAAGTGAGGCTGAGAAATATAATCTCTAGTCAGGCAGCCATGAGTCTATCTGCAACTCTATTCCTATGAAAGAAAGAAAGAATGATTGTGGGTAACAAATAGCTGTCTGCCTGCTTATCCTCCATGTTTTCATTCAAAGTCACTGATCTCCTCAAATAAGAAGGAAAAGTGAAACTCCCCATTGGCCTTCTTATCAACCTGAGACCCTTTGGCAAGAAAATGAGCTGGAAGCTGAATGCGGCCCAGAGGTGCGTGGCCAGAGACAAGCCAGCCCTGTGTGGGAAACTAGGAAGCAGGAAACAGCATTAGAAAGGTCTCTTGTAACTAATGAACACAGCCCTCGACAGAACCAGGAGAAACGGGCAGAAAGAACTTGAATCAAGTAGACAGGAGACAGAGTCCTGGTATCACATCAGATCTAAGCCTGGGAAGTGCAATTATTGAAGCCATACGTAGCCAGGGCATACAGTACACTGGGTGCAGCAAAGGGTAAAAATCATGAATGACTCTCCAGTCTCAGGACCAGGTTCCGCAGTTGTTCATTCTCCAGCGCATCCCTCCTTTTCTTCCTCTTCTTTGCTTCTCTTTGTTGTCCCTTCCCTCTCCAATTCTACTTATGTGTCTTTTGTATGCTTTTTTTTAATTTCTTTTATTCATTCCCTTGCATCATATCATATAAAATACTGCTACTAAGTTTACCTGGCACTGTGCAGGTGGCAGGATTTTTTTCCTCTGGAGTTAAAACATATTTGCATAGATTTTGTTTCCTTTTCATTTCCTCTGAGTTTTTCTATCACTTTGTTTTACATGTGTAATATATTATACAGGGTCCAGCACAAATAACACCCCCTTTTTTATTACAAAATCATAAGCATGTAATTCTATAATATAACAATATCACATTCAAGCACAACATATGACATTGTAGATGAAATATTCAAATTAAAACAAAATTATTACACCCATATTATTACCCTATGAACCCCACTCAAGCAGTCCTTACTTCTGCCAGATCCTGTATATTAAATATACAAATATATAAATGTCTTTGTGTAAATAATATGAATATAAACACTTAAATGTAACACAAATATATATATATATATATACATAAATTCCTAGTATCTCTATCATTTTACCTCTGTGCTTATCTTTACCATCTGGATTATTTCCCCAGTTATATTTACCCAGGACTAAGATTTTTCTCCTCTGAGCGTCTGTGAAACCTCTTTTTCTTACTGCTTTATTAAAATAGTTGGACTTGGTAGTCTAAGCAGACATCACATTTGCTTCTTCTCCTGCTTCCTTTTGAAATATACTCTCTCAAATAACTTTTTCCTGTCCCAGGCTGATCTTAGATAAGCCCCAGAGCTGTGCTAGCCCCTTTCAGCAGCAGTGATATATTTTCATTCAACATTAAAAAGCCTGAGCTGACTTCTAGCCAAGATGGAGGTGTAGGTAGATACACTTTGCCTCCTCGCACAACCAAAAGAAGGACAACAACAAATTTAAAAGCAAAAATACCCAGAATGCCAGGAAATCAAACTGTATGGAAGTCTGACAACCAAGGAGTTAAAGAAGAAATATTCATCCAGACCGGTAGGAGGGGCAGAGATGGGCAGCCGGGATGGAGAGGACTCGTGGCAAGGCAGCAACTGGAGGACTGGGGTTGGGTGAGGTGGCAACTGGCAGAACAGACAAGGCAGCAGCTGGCGGAGCAGGCGGTCCCACATTTGTGTGCAGATAAACCGGGAGGAACAACTGGGTAGTGAGACAGAACAATTTTAAATAAAAGCCCAGTAGCTGTATATTAGTAGTAGGTCTTAAGCCCCCAGTTTTCCGAGAAAGAGATCTCTGGTAAGCTGAGCTAGTTTAGTTTTATACCTTTAATTTATATGGACTCAACAAGTTCAATGAAAGGTGAACCCAATAGTACCAGAGAAAGACACAGAGGGACACAAAGATGTCTACTGCTGAACAAGCCCAAATTGCAGTCCCACCATAGAACCGAAGAGAGAGAGGGAGAGAGAGAGAGGGAGAGGGAGAGGGAGAGAGAGACAGCACACTTCTTCCTGCCTTCATGGTCCTTCATGAACATGGTGCTCAGGAGATCTGCCTGTACGTGCCTCACCATCTTTCCACCCACACTTCATCACCTGCTCAGTGTGGGAGTGTGCTCACCTGAGAGAGGGTTTCAATCAACTCTTCTCTGATATCTCTAACTTTAAGGCTTTCTAAGATTTGAAAGCCTTTTTTTCAAATGAGGAGTATTTCCCTTATTTGTACATTTTCTTAACACTTTAAACTTTTTTGAACAAATTCTCCTTGGATAATATTCAGTTGATTAGTTTCTTATATCCTAATTTTTTGTCCAAATCCATGCTGTCACTTTCACTGTATTTTCAGCCCAAAATCCTTCATTCCAGGCTAAGATAATGGCCAGCACTTCATCTGGGTAGCTCATCATCAGGACCCTCTAGACAATCTAAATTCTTGCATTGCTGCCTTTGATTTCTGCCTTTCAACCAAAGGGAATCTACATTGCTATACTTAATTATTTTAATATTATTTCTGGATGCTTCCATTTCTTCATTGGTAATGGGGATAGTAAAAGTTTCTATCTCCTAATTATATTAGTAGACGTAAGGATCTTATGTTCATGTCTGGCACATCATAAACACTTAACTACTAACTCTCATTATTCTTCTCAGCATTCCTTCAGGTACAAATGGGACTGTGTCTTAAACTATTTTTAATGAATGTGGTTATAAATGAATGAAGATTAATGTGAGGGTAAAGAAAATGAAATCTAAGATGAACCTATATTAAACATCTAAGGTTTGATAAGTATAAGACTATGGGTTATTTTTTTTCTTTCTGTATTAGCCTCTTGAAAAGTTATATTAAAATGGAATTTTTAAAGCAATATTATACACAATGCAACTTCTCACAGCAATTGCTTTTTTGTATTTTTTTCAGTGGAAAACAGAAGCACACATAGAATCCAAGCTCTGAATTCCAGAGTCTCAAGGATAAGAAACAAACCAAAAAGTAAAGTTCTTAAAGATGGATACATTTCAATAACTGAACAGCTAAGTTCTTCTGCTTTACTCTTTGCTTTTAGTAACAAACCTATTTCCCTAACCACTTTATGTAACTGTACTAACTTGAGAAATATGTCAGATTTAGTCCATTCCAAAATGCATCAGGGATTGAAGGACGATAACACTGCAAACAAGTACATTGGTGATGAATCTACAACCAAGACCCAGGTCCCAGGGGCCAGAGCAGGGCTGCCCCTGCTGACCCGATAACTTTTAGGCTGGAAACACAGCTGACCCTTGCACAACACAGGTTTGAATTGCCCCTGTACATTTATAGTAAGGTTTTTTTTTTAGGTTTCACATCTGGAGAGTCAACCAAATACAGATTGAAAATTATTTTTGCTTTCCCAACCACGGATTCCCAATTGCAGATGGAAAATACTATCTTCTATTCAAAGCTCGTTGCATCGGCATATGCGAAGGCTGACTGTAGAGTCAGAAGTTACACCCAGATTTTTGACTGGGTGGGTGGGCATCTGCACCCCTAATGCCCAAGTTGGTCAAAGGCCAACTGTAGTAACCATAAACCACTGCGTAACTCACAAGTCATACAGCTGTCTTTCTTCATGTCCCACCACCTTGAGGTAATTGTGTACTTCACCTCTTCTTACTCATCAGTAAAGTAAAATAAAATGAGGTAATAAGTGATAATAAAGAAGCTGACTGACCTCCAAGACCTGTCCCAGCCTCATATACAGCTTCAACATCCTGCAGATCTCCCACCGCACTGTGGACGGTTCTCTCTTCTGCATGGTGAACAGGGAACTGAAGAAATGCCTTTAATGGATTCCCCTAAACTTCAGTGCTGGTTAGAGGGGCAGGAATAGCAGCTCGTTCTGCAGTTCACTTTTAAACTTTTACATCTGTTTCTACGGAGTAGACAGATTTTCGGTCCTTTGTCACACTCTACCCCCACCATGTATAGAATCTAAGATGCAAAGCCTCCTCCTTGTGCAATATGGAGACGACTCTAGAACCCCAGTGAGCTTCCCTTTCAGTCAGAAGGCTAATACAAAGGAGAAATGAGGGAAGCAGGTAAGGCAGAACAATCTCCTGTTAGGCTGCCCCATTGTGATCCTGCTGCCCACTCAGCCAGTCCCCATCTCAAACCTACAGATAGAGTTGTCAAATTATAGACAAATTATAGTCCAAAACTCTTTCTGGCCACAAAACTGTCAGAGGAGGAGGAAGGAGAGGAAATTTGGCTAGAAATTTTCTCCTAGTGTAGTAGACTCAGTATATGTTACCATCTCCCAGTAGTTAAATGGTGGCCAACTTGCTTGGGAATTAAGACATTGGATGGACCTTCTGAGAGGTCTGCACTTTGCTGCAGTTACCTCATCACTCCAGGTGGTTCTCTTGGCCAGAGTATTTCTCAAGAACACCGGGTCCAGTTCCCATCCACAGAGCCCCAACTGAGCCATGGAAATCATGCTTCTTTATTGATTCCCTTGCTGGCTCCCAGCTCAGCCTTTCTCCCATGGCAGCACACTCTAGTCATGACCTTCACCTTCACATTTCTTAGAGTTGAACCTAACAGTCTCTCCTACCTTGACGTCCCCAAGGACAGAAGTCCATCTTCTGTGGGGGGTCTTTTAACACCTTCTCTCTTGGATTAAAGAGAGGTGTCTGACAATTCTCTCCAAGGAAATGTAGCTTCCTCTCTAGGCCTGGTGGTAGGGAAGGCTTATGCTGGCAGAACCAGCCTCACTGTACCCTACCATGTTCTCTGCAGCATGGCTAGACTTGCCCCTTTCTTTAAGGTATAGGTGTACTAGGCTCCTATTGTATTGTTCTTGGGTGTTGAGGCTTCCGCTGCTACTCTGAGGCAACCTGATAACACTTTTTTGCTCATAATGAGTAGACCTAACTATTAAGAAAATTATTTTATATTGATTTTAATTTTTCTGGCTACATTATTATTTACAAGGGTTAATGTGGGGGTTAGTGTTATTAAGATAGTAGACCCAAGAAAAGTGAAACCTTACTTTGTCCAGACATCTTACTTCCTAGACGTTGGATGACAACAAGGTGCTGGAACATGCTAACACACAAAGAACCATTGCAAAGCAAAGCTCCTCAGCACCTTGACACATAGGACTCTGTGTTCCACCCACATTTTTTCATGCTGAAAACTGGCTGGAGAACATTGAGCACCTATTTGTTTACCCTGAAGTTGTCTGTAAACCTGAAGGTTTTCATGGAAGGGGAGCCTAGCTCACTCAATAGACCCAGAAGGATTTATTTAAACAGGGAGAAACTAAGACGAAGAGAATGTGTGTTTGCCAGTAATAGCTAGTGATGAACGGACTCAGGTTATAGTCAGAGGTGTACTCTAATCTTCCGAGATATTTTGTTATCTTTATCCCTACAACCTTTAGAACCTGGGCATCCATTTCTATACGTTCCCTTTCATCGGGTTAGTTTTTAAGTCTCTTCTCATTTTTTCCCCATAATTAGTATAAAAATCTACTTGCAAGATTAGGCTTGTGGCAGCTATCTTATTGGTAGAGTTCACCATGAGATCTGTCCTTGAGACCTTATATTACTGCCTTGTATCTCTGTCTCTCTATCAAAGGAAATCTCCGGTACCTTATTTAATTTGAATATCTATCTCTACACATTTACATTTATTTCCTCACCTAGTGAATGAAGGTAGTGTTAGTTCTTATTTGGAACATTTGTTCCAACAATGAAGTGAGTTAATACAACTAAGGTCTAAGAATGGTTCTGGCGCAAAGCAAGTGTCCAACCTCATCATTCTTCTCAGCCTGTTGCTCGGGAAATACATAAAACGTAGTACATAATGCAAAGTTATCTGGAACAATTTGGAGATATTAGAAAAAGAAATTTAGAATGAACCTCAGTTAAGTATCATCCTTGTAACTAAGTCTAGGCCTGGGTTCAGCTAATCCTGGCCCATAGAGTAAATCCAGCCCATTGTTTTATAAAGTTTTATTGGGACACATCCACAGCCACCTCTTTTTATTTATGTATTACCTAGGAAGGATTTCACAATACAACAGCAGCATTGAGTAATTATAGGCCTTAAATATAGTTACTATCTGGCCCCTTACAGAAAACAGTTTCTGAATCCTGATCAGGCATTCTATAGTTTTATCGAAGGACTAGACAGGCTCCTGCAGAGTTTTTACTTGAATGGTATTTTCCCACAATACTATTATTTGCAATGCAATTTCATAAACAGGAGACATTTATGTTATTTTCTTTTTTCCCCTCAGGGAAAAAAGCAATCAACCCTGGACCTTTGAAAAGATGCAGAAAAAGAGGTAAAAAGAAGTGATTAATTGATTAATACACTTTTATTAATTAAGCATCTAAATTTTAACTTTATACTCTGTTTTCTAAGCAACCGATCAATTTCTGAATTAGCTTACAGAGCCAGTCACAAACCTTAGGGTGGTCATCAGCCTTGGTCAATGTCAACAACATGACAGGACGCTGATAACACCACTTCACTGATGCTGATCAATTGATCTGTGAGGGAGCACAAGGCTCCCTTCGCTGCATTGATAAAAGGGTGTGACTCATGTGCTGTTTATCTCCTGACCACGTAGGGACACCCCATTTGCCCACCAATGGGGACCCTGGGTGGTAATACAAGACTTGTGTCCTGAATCCTAACATACCTTTGATGATGTGATTTTTGCTGGTCCTTTCGTCTTTTGCCTTAATTTCTTCCTCTGTAAATGGGTGAGTGGCCTCCCGGGCCATCCCCAGCTCTGACAGAAATGACTCTGAGAGGGCCAGGGCCAGGGCCAGCCCACCCCTGCCCATGCTGGACAGGAGCCCCAGCATGTATCTCCATGGGTGCCCTCAGTGTTAGCCAGGAGGACAGGAGCAGGTGCTGCTGTTACTGAAGTTCATGTTGAGACTTTCAGCAACTGCAGAATCAGAACCTAGTGCCCCACCCAAAGGATGTACAGAGGCCTTCTTCCTGACCAACTTGCAGTGTCTTCTAGAGCACCCTGCCCTGGGTGTCACAGAGTGAAAACCACCAAGTTCACACGAAGGGGAAGTGAAACAAGGCAGAGCAAGGAGGGAACGCAGACACTGCTCTTGCTAGTGTCACCATAGCCAGTTAATTAGTTGTTCATAAGAAAGAAAGCCAAGGGAGCATTGAGTTTAATAAACAGGGGAGCATGAGCCTGCTTGCTTCACCAGGAAGCTACACCTTCACGCTCCAGGGATTACAGCATTGCTCACCCTGGGGGTCTAACACTCCTTGCTCCTTTCCCCCTCTGATACCAGACTGAGGAGGGTCCAGGGACAGGTGCATGACCACGGAGGCTTGTCCGTCTAACTAGGGGCTGGACCCATCAAAAAGCCCATGAAAGCTTGAGAAGTTGATTGGTTATTTTTAAAAAGCTCCTAGTTAGTCCCAAACCATGGCTAATATAATCCCAGGGAAACAAAAATAATCTCCCTATCTGTCTCTCTCCCACACACACACACACCTTCATTTGCCCACATTTGCTTGCTCTCTCACTTGGGAGCACACAACCACGCGGCTCTAGCAGCTACTCAGGCCTGCAGCAACTGCATGGGCTCCGAGGGACTACGCTTTAGCGTGAAACAGAAACTCTGGGCCTTGGCTATTGTTTTGGCCTTAGTGAAGGCAAAACAGGACATTTTCCAGGACGGGATGAACAGAGAGAGGACGCAGGGGCAGCCTTCCCCACGAATGAACCATCCTGCCACACCACAGTCTCCCATGTGCAGGTCCTCGGAATGCTTTCCTCGCAGTCCTGTGAGGGAAGAGCCTGATTTCCCCCGACGACACTAGGTGCTCCGGTGTCACCCTGCTCTCTGAGCTCCCAGTGGGTGCCTCCGCCGAGGAGACACAGCTAAAAGCCGGGAGGGGGTTTTCTCCATCCACTTAACTGCAAGTCAGTAATATGACTGACTAGACATCTTCCTCAAAACCAAGGGAAAAATCATTGCGCCCCAGGTAATTGTGGCCAATAAGCTTGGGAACTCAGGCCCTTCCACACGAGGCTTTTACGCAGGATTTCAGAGAACAGGAATACAGGATGACGTTATCTTTATGTGTCTCACCAGCCATAAAAGAAAGGCCTAGTTCGTGGGGTGATCCCTCCAATAGGTTTTAATCTGTAAAAGAAGGATCTCACAATGGATGAGGAGAAAGAGGGCACAGTTGTATAAGATGGAATGAAAAAAGTAATAATAATAATGCTTTCTTACAGTTCCAAGAATTCCCAGAGATACAAATATGGATTTTCAACCTCCTAAACTTCCGGTGACCTGTGGTCAGGCGAAGGGGATTTTGTGTAAGGAGATGATGAAACAAGGTGAGTTTCCTGGTCTTCCATGCTGTTCACCTGGAAACTATCCCCATGTGGTCATTGTATTGTTCAAGGGCTAGACACCTGCACCGGGGTCTCCAAGCCCATCCCCAGACTCACTGACTCACTAAGAGCCCTCACAGAACCTAACATATAGTCAAACTCATTGCTACAATTTATTAAATCGATACAAAGCAAAGGCAGCAAAGTCAAAAAGACCCCTTAACAAAGACGAAAGGAAACCAGGTGTCAGTCTCCGAGAGTCCTCTCCCAGTGGAGTCACGCAAGTCACACTTAATTCTCCAGCCACCAGTTCTAACACGTGTGAGATGTTGTCCATCAGGGAAGCTGCTCTGAGCCCAGGAGCCCAGAGTTTTTATCAGGAGTTAGCGACACAGGTATACTTTACCTGTCACCTGCCAAAATTCCAGATGCCCAGAAGAAACGCAGGTGTTCAGCATAAGCCGTATGGGAAGGGTGGGACCTCTCCTGAAGTCCAGGTTCTCAGATGCCAGCCAAGGGCTGGCCTCAGAAGCAGGCATTCCTAAAGTCTTGGGTCCGCTCTGTTAGGTCTTTTCTGCGCCGTATCCCAGACAGGCTGGAGGAAAGATGGCATCCCCACCCTTTTCAAATTCATGCATATTAGCCTACCGGGCTGTCTCCCTTTTCTTCCATAGAAAAGGTCCCCAGGACACCCATCCAGCGCCCAATATAACAAACAGCAAGGGCTTCAGTATCGGGGTGGGGGGAATATACACAACTGAGAAACCCAACAACAACCTCACAGCCCGGGTCCCTGTAACGCCTGTACCACCTGTGCTAACCGGAAGGCGCACAGGATTTAGGATCAGGAGACCTGGCTCCAAGTGCCAGCTATACCAGGAGTGTCTGTTTCACCTGGACCGAGCCATTGTCTCCCACCCTAAACTTCCTCCTACAAAACAGGAATAATAATAATAGAACTTCCCTCGTCATATTATTATGAGAAAAAAATGGGCTAACTTGCAAATTATAATTGCTGAAGTAGAGCACAAATGTCCACCTGCCGTGTCTGGCGCCAACAAGTATAAGTGTGTGCCCTACGACTATAATGCATGTGAGTGAGTTCACTTTTCCCGCCACATAACGTTTCTGTAATTACTTTCCACATAAAATAACCATGAGTCCAAAAGGTGAGAAATCGCTGGTTGCCGTTAGCTGGACAGTCAACATTGTACGAGACGAGGCAGACGTGGCCGAGGAGACAGCTGCCACATGGCCACGTGGGTGCCCTCATCTGCCCCCCACCCCCCACACTGAGCCTGGCTCAGTCGAGGGTCTCAGACAGAGGAAGGGAAAGGATCTAGGTCATTCTTCTTTAGAGCCATTCATTCAGTTCATTTGTTTCTCTTTTGAATGTGCCATATTTTGCTGTGTATAATGTGTACATTTTTGCCCAAATTTTTGAAGAAAAAAAAAAAAAGCTCTGCATTATACAAGCGTAGTACCTGAAATACCTTGCATCTGTTCTTGTGTTTTGTAATTATTTGTTACATAACATTTCTTGTGCCATGATATGTTCACAAATAAATGCTAAAATTCCTTTATAATACAAAAACAACTATCTAAATATAAATAAATAATTAATTAAATTTAAAACTTAAAAGGAAAGGTTTTTTTTTCTTAAAAGTTTGGGCCAAAATCATGGGTGCGCATTAGACAAGGGAGTGCATTATACAAGGGAGTGCATTATGCATAGCAAAATACGGTAGTTAAGTGCTTTTTGAAAGTAAATGCTGGTAATAATTAGTGCCCTTCTCATCCCACAAAGAAATGTGCACACACAGCAGGAAGTCCCCTTCCGCCCTCGCATTTCCGGTGCCCGTGGGGCCCCTGAGTGGGAACTCGGCTCTCCTGTGTTACTGGTTCCAAGCCCAAAATAGGTGGCCCCTAAACCACGTGGTGGGAGGCCGAGTTCTGGGGTTTTCGGTGGGGGGCACTTCCGGGCAACGAAGGGAGCTCAGCTTGTCTTGCTCGGCCTCACAGGCATCTCAGCGAAGTGTATAGAGTTGACGGATGGGAAGCAGCTCACCCTCAAGGAATTCGAAATTGAAGGGAACCACGAAAAATCCAAGAACTGGAGGCTGAGTGTGCGCTGCGGCGGCTGGCCCCTGAAGCTCCTGATTCAGGTACCCTAGTGGCAGGGGGCTGAAATTAAGGATGCAGTGTCGCCATCCACCAACTCCGAGTTCCACCCGTGTCTGGAAAACCATCGTGACCTCCCTTGCGCAGGTCATAATGATGTCATTACTAACACCCCACTCGGGTGTTACCTCGGCTGGCTTTTATTACAGCTTAATCCTCGAAGCGCAAGAACTCTAGCCCCCTGGAAGGCGGGCAGTAAGTTGTGGCCTTGACTCTGTCACGAGTGGTTGTTTAAAGGAGCATAGCAGAACTGGATTATCTGAAAATAATGCACCAATATGGGTGCTTCCTGGGTTACAGATTACTCGTCGTATTTTAATGTTGTTTCTTTTGATGGCCAACTGAAATTCATTCTTGAGAGTATACGTAAGTGGCATTCTGAAATGCCACTTTCGGTCCTCGTGCCAGCCCCCTGATGTGGACAAGGCGGGCCGGGTCTCTGCCACACATGAGCGTCTGCCTTGTGACTGTTTGTATCCCTTGCCCCAGATGGCCCTTCCTCGCTCCCCTCTAGTGCTCAGGAAGAGCCCTTTGCTCAGCAACGTTTATTGAGCTACATCTAAAGTACCAGGTTCGAGCCCCAGTCCCTAACAAGGAGGGAGGCTGCACATTCCTAACCACAGGACTGCTAATGGGGAGGCACTGGCAGGAGGAGACGCAGGGTCTCGGGGAGGGGAAGTTCCTTCTGACTTTGAGGTTGAGGACAGTTTGATGGGACAGTTTGCACTGAGCTGGGTCTTAAAAGAAGCATAGTTCTGACAAGGAGAGCTGTAGGTACAACACATTTCACATAAAAAGGATGGCATGCGAATCCTTCCCACAACTTATCGAGATGTTGCGGGTAATGAGGCTCGGTACACAGGGTGGGCTAGCTATAGAGGTCCTGAGGCCAGGGGAAGGAGGACTGATGCGGACCCCGGCCCACGGGGTCCGTGTGTTGTGGATGCAGTGAACAAATTCACAAGGACCACCGAAGTCCTGTGGAGAAAAAGGGATGGCCTGGTCACTCTCTCAAAGGGAGAGCACCTCGACCTTGGCCTCGACAAGCTTTTATTGGCTTTCTAATAGCATACATCAAAGAAGGTTCTCATTCATTATGCTCGGGTTTGCTTTAGGTAATTACTTTTTACAGATAACAAAGGAAAGGATGTTTCTGATTACTTCCTACAGATTAACAAGGACAAAATGTTGCAGATGCAAGGGAACAATAACAGTAATTGGCCTGGTTACACTTTAGTCCTTGGGAGAATTAGCACAGACTTCAGGAAGTTACTTTAAAGATACGTGAAGTAAGCATTTGCTGTTTCAACTCAGGGTGAGGGAGTTTTAGCAAGAGCAAGCCTCAAAGCAGCCTAGGCATAATGCAGGCCTGGTTTCCCACGGGAAAGCCGATCGGTGGGTTTGGTGGCCTGCATGCCAACACGCGCCTATGGGCTTTCCAATAGGACTGGGCTACATTCGCCATTGCCAGGCAGACTGGTTCCCTATAGAGAACGAACCCTTCTTTAATCAGAGGGGAGATCATGGGAGGTTTGAGTTAGGGACTGACTGACATAGTTGAAATGATGCTTGAGAAATATTGATCTGATCAGAGAATGCAGTATGGATTAGAGGGTGGAGTACTTGAAGCCATGGAAACCTTCAGTGACCCTCACAGCCTTTCTGTCTGACGCACCTCCACTCAACCTGCAAGGCCAAGCTCCAGCAGCACGTTCTCTGAAGTCCTTCACACTCGCTGTGTTTGTCCCCCATCGCTGCCGTAACAGCTGCCCACCAACGTAGGGCTTCCAACAATATGAACCTATTACCTCACAGTCCTGGAGGCCGGGGAAGTCTGAAGTCAGTTTCGGTAGGCTCGAGTCAAGGTGTCAGCAGGGAGCATTCCAGGTGCAATGTATCCCTGGCTTTTATCACCCACTGGAAGCCACCCACATCCCTTAGTCCATGGTGCCCTCCACAAATCAGCCTCTTGCTCTCTCATCCCGTCCCCTGACACTCTGACCCTCCCGCCCCCTCTCAGGAAGCCCCTTGTGATCGCGTTGGCCCCACCCAGATAATCAGAAGAATCTTCTCATTTCAAGATCCTTCATTTAGTTACCTCTGTAAAGAGGCAGTTGCTCTTCACGGGTCAATTAACATGCACAGGCCTGAGGATTAGGACACTAACATCTTCGGGGACCGTTATTCAACCTACCACACTCACTCATCTCCGGAACCCAAAATACTCTGTGAGAGCATGGTTTATGCTTGGTTGTCCTCACCCATGGCCTGCCAGCTCCTCCCACTTCTCTCCTCAAAAGTCCGGACACCTGTGTGTGCCCAAGGCCACTGGTGGGGCCTGACACCCGATACCTGTCCCTTACCAAGTGTGTGCCAGTGGAGCAGCTGACGTGTGTGGGGTATAAAGACACAAACTAGAGAGGTCCTTGCAAAGGAATGGAGAGGAAGTGACAGAAGAGGTCGTAAAGAAAACTTGGAAAGGCTTCATAAGGGGAGCAAGAGAGAGGGAGCAGTTTTTAAGGCTGAGCCTCGATAACAGAGGGCAGCGTGTTACAGATTGGGGGAGGGAAGTTATTTCCCGTGAAGACACCTTGAATGTGTCTTGTTGATGATGGGACATACTTGGGGCGTGGCCAGAGACACCAAGCTCGAAACAGTGGAAAAAGTACAAAAGTACAAAGTGGACACATGTTGTAATAATCTTTTCTCTTTCAGAAAGGATTTCTACCAGACCCCCCAAGGACAAGAAAAAAGGTGATTATCATATGACTTTCAGCCAGTGTCTCATCCATCATGCTGTTGATTTTCCATTTCTGTGGCCATATTTTACAGTTTCTAAATTCACTAATCTCACTAACTCTGATGAAACTTGATTCTATAATGTGGTGTTTTTGCAGTTGCTGCTTTCACACATTACAGTGTACGAGGCCAGGACTTCTTTAAGCACTAAAACATTACACATAGAGTTGAGAACAGCCCTTTAAACTAGATCCTGAGACAGAACTGACCTTATGTGATTATTTCAACATCACTGTCTAACCTGAGAGAATAACTCATGGGGAGGGTGGGGGTTCTAGAGCACCCTGAGAGACAGGCAGTCACACGGCCACTTCTCGGGTCATTCTGCCTTGGATCCACTGGGTGTGTTATCTATGGCCTCTCTGCTCCAGGCTGGAGGTAAAAGCTGGGGTAGTCATTGTTCCAGACTAGAAGGAAGTCAAGTTATTTCACAGATATCCCAGGTCAATGCAGCTCTTGCAATTCGGGAGACAGTGGAAAGGTGCTCACCTTCCACAGAAGAGGTGCAGAACTGGGACCTTGTGCCCATTCTATCCTTAGGGCTGTGCCAGGAGAGTGGTGGAAGGCAGTGGAGTCACAGGGACATTGGCATGGCTCCCAGGACTCTGGGCCCTGTGTCACTGGGGCTGCAGGGCATGAGTCCTCAGTCTGAGTCTCTCATTGCAGCTCCAGCTCCATCTGGGACGACCAGGGCCAGAGTCCCTCTCCATACGGCTTCACGAAAGCCAGCTGGGGCCTGAGAGCCAAAGAACGTGACATGCATTGGGCCAAACTATCACTGACACACAGTTTGTTGGGGGATTTTGTTGTTCTCCAGTTAGATATGTTCTCCATCACCATAAAAGATGATGCAAAACAAAGGGAGGGCTGGGGCATGAATCCTTTACATAAAAAGTCTGTTCCAACGTTTGGTTAATGAAAACTCATGTTCACTATTGTCATTCACTCTTTTCTCTGCTTTCTGTAGACAATACCAGAGTCTCACAGCAATGACTTCATTGACCCATATGTAAGTACGGACTCCCGCCTGTAACCCCAGAATGATCCAGGCCCTTTCCCTCAGTCCATTATCTGCGCCGTTGCCGCCTTTCCCTGAAGTGCGCCCACACTCCGTCGGAACCTGTTGCTGTGTGTGATGAGCAGTGAACAGCAGATGCACCACCCCCGTCGGATCGATGGTTCTGGGGTTGGGGGTCTCCAGTGTGAAAGCCTCCTTTCTGTGGTTCGGAGGAAACCTTCCTGCCTCCCCATTGCTACGAGGGACAGAGCTTTAAGTCTAAGTCTGGGTGTGGGAAAGGGCAGAATCTATGTTTGCTGCCAGGCTCCTGGGCGAATGGTGGGGTGGGTGCTTGGTGAGGGGGGGCTGAAGGGGCAGCAGATTCCAGACAGAGAGACGAGAACAGGGTGCTTGGGGACAGGGTGGGTTTTGGACCCGATGAAGAAGGTCTACCTGGAGCTGGTGGAAAGCAGGGTGTGGATGTTGAGGGGCTCAGGAGGAGACGGGAGACACAGGTTTTAAAGTCTAAGTCTAAATATGGTAGGCGTGGTCATGGGAGTAGTGACAGGGGCGGGGGGTGTAAGACAGAGCCCCAAGGAACGCCCACATTCTAAGTGAGGAAGCTTCGAAGAAAGGGGCAGAGTGTAAGGGGGACAACTCCAAGGGAGCGGAGTGTCACAGGACGAAGCACGGTGTTTCTAGAAGGAAGAAGGGGAACGGCCCTCCCTGTCACCTCCCACCTCCTCACCACCCACCCGCATCTCAGCCACCCATCTCCGGGTGGGCCGGTCCCCAAGTCTGTGCATTATTTTGTACCTAGATTGTCACAGAACTCCTCCTTCTAATGCCTGGTGTAGACAGGAGATTTTCGTCTAGGTGCAGTAGCATTTCCCTGGGTGAAACATTTCCCCACCACACCGTTCTCCTCCAACTACTCTCTTTCTGCTCAGGGGGTCCCAGAAGAGGAGCCAAATGCTTCCGGACATGTCTCCATCTCCATCACAGACACATGACCCTCAGACACAGAAGTTTCATTTTGTCATTACTTTTATGCTTACCTGAGGATATGCTTATTGATTTTAGAGAGTGGGGAAGGGAGAGAAGGAGAGGGAGATACAAGAGAGAAACATTGACCATTGCCTCCAGTGTGCACCCCATCTGGGAACTGAACCCACAACCTAGATAGGGGCCCTGGCCAGGGATCAAACCCGTGGCCTTTCGGTTGAGAGGATGACACTCCAACCAACTAAGCCACCCAGCCGGGGCCAGGTATAGAAACTTTAGTATGCAGAGATTCACATGTTATGGCCACAGAGATTGTCACACACACATTTTTTAAAAAGCAACTGATTTCTCTCAGCCTCCGAAGGGCTCTTTCCTTGATCGATTCTTATTTGGGTCTCTAAATTCCACCATTTTAATATGCACTTTTTCATTCCACAATACTTAGATGCAAACAGTCAAATTTTTGACTTCACTAAAGGAAATCAAATCTGGCTGAAAGCCCCAGATATTAAGATTGGTGGAGGACCCAGCATCAGCCGACTCTGTGGGCTCCGCCATCCTCCTTACACAGGACACAGCACCAGGTCATCCATGGACCCAATGGTTGCCACACTCCCTGGCCATTCAGAACCGGAGCCTCCACACCTTGCAGACGAAGCTGAGTCACAGCGCACCATCCCCAGGCTCCCAGAGCGGAAGACCTCTGTCTTCCCTGACTCTCGCCTGGTCATCTGTGCCCATGGCCTTTCAAAAAAAGCAGAGTGCCCTGGCTGACATAGCTCAGTGGATTGAGCGCGGGCTGCGAACCAAAGCATCGCAGGTTCGATTCCCAGTCAGGGCACATGCCTGGGTTGCAGGCCACGGCCCCCAGCAACCGCACATTGATGTTTCTCTCTCTCTCTTTCTCCTTCCCTCCCCTCTCTAAAAATAAATAAATAAAAATTTTTTTAAAAAAAAGCAGGGTGCACTGGTATCTCAGAAGTGTATTCCATCACATTAAATTCTCAGTACATCACTCTGTGATGAGTCCCTTCAGATGATGCCGTCTAGATAACTAGATAAGACACTATATTCCTGAGCCAGGTTTGTCCAGCAGCAGCATCCATTTCTCAGGTTATCTTTAACTCATCCTTTTTTGTTGCTGGCCGAATCTCTGTCTTCACACGGAAAACTGTCCCACTCTAACACAACCACCTCCTCCTGAACTTGACTACAGACCAGAATGCTTTCTTCTCAAATCTCTGCTCGGTGTCGACCCTTAATATTTCGTGGAGAGAAATTTACCAGTGTCCCCTTGGTACAAGCAAAGTCTGTGTGTTCTAGTATCTCAACCTCTCGACCCTCCTGAGTCTCCCCGAGCCCGGTGCTGTCTACATTCTCTCCCCTTCTAGCCGGAAAACTCCAACGAATGTGAGGTGTGTCGTAGAAGAGGAAAGCTCTTCTGCTGTGATACTTGTCCGAGGTCCTTTCATAGCAAATGCCACATCCGTCGTATTGATCCTGACAGGTTAGTGAGACCCGGTTCCCTCTCGCCCTTCCTTCTTGTGGTACAGCTCTTCCCAAGCGTGCACACTCAGCCCGCCAGGTTTGTCTCAGGTTGTAGGTGTCTTAATGCAGAGGGAGCAGGGTCCTTAAGTATCAGAGCTGTTTCACCGTGCTGGCAGCAGTAGATTCATGGGAAGTAAAAACTCCTCAAGTAGCTAATAACTATCACAGAAAGAGGGGTCACTGCCACCTGCCCGGCTCTGTTCCCCAGCCCACGCACTTGGATGGGGTTCTGACACCAGATGGTAGCTGCTGGTTGAAAGCATGTGTCACCTGCCCTGGGAACATCACACGCTTGGCAAGGTGAGGGCTGTGATGAGTCCTCAGAAGGCCATGCCCAGCTGACCCTGGGTGACGGGGTCCAGGATGAAATTCCTGAATTCTGAGAGTGAGTCCACTGCTCCATTTCCTTAGCTGTAAAACGTCTCCTTGGTCAGAGGTGATGGCCCGTGGGCTCGCAGGGAGACTGATACAGCATCTGTAAGTGGTGATGTGGGCAGGGGATGTCTACCAGGAATGCGTGTGTCCCCATGAGGACAGAGCATCGTCCTCCGTCGTGGGAGGAATCTAACGTAACCCACCTGCTCGACGATAGCTCCCAGGGAGCGGTGCCACCCCAGTGACCTGGCATAAACCCCCGCAGTCAGGCACTTCGCAGAGCCGGAAGAGAGATCCGCTTTTGGGCGAACCCACAAACAGTCCCCATCCCCGCCCCACGGGAACTTTGTAATAGGCTTCTATTTCTTCATTTATAGTTGACATGCAACATTAGATTAGTTTCAGGGGTACAACATAGTAATTAAACATGTATATAACTTACCTACTGATGCCCCCAGTAAGTCTAGTACCCACCTGACACCATACCTAATCATTACAATGTTATTGACGATACTCCCTATGCTGTACTTTACACCCCCACGACTGTTTTTATAGCTGACAGCTTGTATATCTTAATTTGTAATGGGCCTCTTGAGAGAGGACTGGGATGGCCAGGAGAGAAGCTAAATGACATCTCTAAAATGAACCATTGTATCCACCTGGTTACTGAGAGCCTCCCAGCACAGACGGCCCGGTGCCGTTGAGAGGACTCCAGTGGCAAATAGAATACCTGGCACTCCCTGGAAGGTTTCCTTCCCAGGACGGCTCTGCAGCACAGGTCCTGGGCGTAGACATGGCTTTGCCCGGGAGGAGGATGCCCGCGGCCTGTGCCCTGTGCTCACGCAGCGAAGTTGAGAGGCAAGAGCTGTTTCCCTGACTTTTCCTATGACCTGCTGCTTGGTCGAGGCCCGAGACTCGGTACTGATTTCCCACACCGCACCGAGGCAGACAGGGCTCATTACCATACTCACAGTGGCTCAGATGAGAAACCTCAGTTAGGAGACGAGCGAGAGTCCATTGCCCGCCATGGCACCTAACTCAGTAGACTACTTACGGGAGGGGTGTCTTTGGCAATTGAGCCCAGATGGGACTTGAGCATGGAGGAGCCTCCAAGGCAGAAGTTGGCTGCAAGGTGGCAACCAATAGTCCTCCTTGAACAGAGGACTTTAATGGCTGGAGGAACAGTGGCTGCTTCACAGAGAACCTTCCTCTGCTCATTTTAAGTCCTGCCTCTCAGGACCCCATGGAGTTGCATCTTCTGCCAGATGGGGGCAAATGGCCCAGAAAATCAACCATGTCATCAGGAGTCAGAGGTCCTGGAGAGGCAGATGCTGAGCGAAGAGAAGTTGGTGAGTTGCAGTGAGAAGCTGCAGCCTCCCTCCCTCCCCCCTTCTGTGCAGCTGGGAGGAGAAGCCGGGTCTCACAGGGAGGGGCTGGAGGAACGGTGCCCGGAGGCAAGCTGCTGTCCCTCGCCGCGCCTTGCTCACACGATCTAACACCAAAATCCGCATTCCAAAGGAAATGCCCATTCTGTGTTTCCACAGGGGCACTCTGTCTGAACATGCGTAAGAGTTCATTCTCTCCAAGCTGCTTTTCACTTAAGACCTCCTCTATCTTTTGCAGAAATGTGAATTCCTCCTCTTGAAGGTCTATTCCTGTCCAGAAAGTTCCTTTTTTGCCTCAAAACCATACTATGTAAGTAACAGCTACACAGCCCAAAACTGGCATTGGTCAAATTTGTGACGTGAATGCAATGGGTATAAGTTGTCATTATCATTGCCTTGTTGATGGACGCCTTGTTGCTGGAAGTCCAAGATCTGGGCACCAGCATGGTCAGATTCTGGCAAGGGCCCTCTTCCATGTTGCAGAATGCCAATGCTGTGTTGTGTCCTCAGACGGTGGACACAGGGAGAGAGCTCTCTGGGGTCCCCTTACAAAGGGCACTGATCCCACTCATGACTACCCTCATGACCTAATCACCTCCCAAAGGTCCCACCTCCTAACACCGTCACATTGGGGGTTGGGATTTCAACACACCAGTTTGGGGAGTGGAACAGGAACACCTAGTCCACAGCAGCGCAGAGTCTGTAGAAAGTAGACTCGGACCCACGCTCACAGCCTGCCCTGTGGCATTTCTACCCACAGAGTAAACAGGCACCTCGGGGCCTGCAGAAGTACATGTGGTTAGACAAGATCAGGAGAAAGCTGACTTGGAATTTATACGGCCAAGTGAAGGGGTTTGTGCAGGACATGCGCCTCATCTTTCGGAACCACAGGACGTTTTACAGGGTAAGTGGCTGTCCCTGCATCCCTTTTTTTTTTTCAATGAAGACACTTTGCTTTTCATCGTCTTGGATCACAGACAATGTACGCTTGCATTGTGCAGCCAGCCTACACAAGTGAAAATTCTGGAAGGATCCTAACAGCCCTGTGGTCTACAGAGGCGAAAATAATAACAAACCAGAGGTGTGATGGCAAGTCATTGCCTTAGGACCTCAGAGCCCGCTCATTGCCAGACAGCCGATCTCCTCCCACGGACAGCGGCAGACCACAGACCCGGGCCCTTCCCCAGCAGAGCGCTTTTCAAAGGCAACCAGCATTTTCTCTTCGCTAAAGGAAGACACCACACCAGCTTTCTCAGATTTCAGATTCTTGGATTTCTTTACATGCAAATCCCCTAATGCAGTATCAAAAAGTTAACAAGAATTAAATAACAAAGGGGTGAGAATGAAGAAGGAAGGAAGGCACCGTGAATTTGCCGTAGGTGGTTCCATACTATCATATCGCCGCAAGTAATGCGTGCTGTGCTCAGAATTCAAATAACTTGGATTTTGTCAAATTAAGTCGATCAGCCAATTTCTGACAAAGAATTGCGCTGCAGTGGAGCACTATTTTTGCTTCTCTGTCTTCTAGATAAAGAGGAACGATTAAGCTGTTCTTCACTGGATAAAGTCTCACTTAACCTTTGGGGGTAGTGTAAACCAAAGATCCGGGTTATCTGAAACCTTGGGAGTCTAAGCCTCGTTGGCCATGTCTCTTACTATTTTTGTCTTTTCTTTTTCAGGAACATAAGTTCATCAGGCTGGGACTTCAACTAGAGGCCAAATTCGAGGATGATTTCAAAAACATTTTTGCAGTTCAGAAAATCAGCCAGAACAGCTCTCAGCCCGAGCCCATCATTCTGTAAGGCCGTCCGTTTTTTTTGCTTCCGTCTCCAGAGCCTCCCGCAGGGTGCGGCCAGGTGCCCGGGGTCCCAGGCCGTCTGCTGCTGTGCGAACATCATGTCACCCTTCTCATCTCGCACTTTTTTGTTGCCATTCCTGCTCATTTATTTTTGTAAATAAAATCTAAAATTGCCTTGTCCAGTGCTCTTATTGGATAATTGGGAGTGAAATGTACAATCGGAAATCTGGAGTCTTTCTATAAAGGATCATATCACGTGCTTCCATTTATTTGACTTATATGTTATGTTCTTAAGGAACATTTTCTCTTCCTTCCTCCTCCCCACATAAAACATCCCTTTCTTTCTTTTTTCCTCTTTTCCTTTTTTCCTTATTTATTGCAGTGTGTGTGACCCACTAACACAGAACTGAAAACAGCAGGAGGTTTGCAAAGTTAGCCAGGAATGTCAGGCTGGCCGAAATAAGTTTCCTACATTAGAGCCAAAACCAGTTAATGTCCTACAAGCCAAAAAAAATCATAATCTTGGGAGATTATCTTTCTACCAAACAAATCATTTGCATCTCTACTAGACAAAAATCTATAAATTAACATGTAACCTCACCAAGGCTGGCCCTAATTAAGAGTAAATTACAAATCAGGATGTATAGTCATCCTTCTGCCTTATTGCCTAATGTCTTAACAACCTAATTGACCTTAAGCTGCCCCTGGGAGAATTTAACAATATAGCTGATTAACAATTCACAATTTATAAAGGTTCAAACACTGAATAGCCAACAATGCACTTCTGACCCTAACTGCCCGGAATTACCACAGACCCTACAGGTCAAGGGTTCAGCTCCCCACTTCAGACCCCCTTCCACAGATGGGGTCCCCAAGCTACCTGCATTCGTCCCCAGTGTTGACAGGAGAGACCTGGTTCTTCTTGCTGACGCATGTAAAGAATTATGTATCAGCAAACCTAGTAGTATGTAATCAGTTTATTAGTGGTCTGCTCCCATGACAGAGACCAGGACTGGGTAGAGTAGGGGGTGAAAGGGAAAGTTTCAGAGCAAAGCAGGGTGAGAAAAGCAAGAGCGGCTGAAGACCAGGGTGGCAAGCCCCTGGGCAGCCTAAGGCAGGTGGCCAGAGGCCCTGTGGCCCGAGAGCCGAGAGCCCCCTGAGCCCCCGAGAGAGAGGGGGAGGGGGGGAGAATCCTGATCCCCTGAGAGAGAGTGAGTCCTTTGTTCTCAGGACTTACATAGTTGGTTGGATAGGAGCAAAAAAAGTTACATATTGATTAATGGGTAAATGTGGCGCCAGCTTTCCTTGGGGAATGTGCTACCCAAATTTAGGGATGAATGGGGGTCTGTCCGCCCGAATTCTTATCTTGCTCCAGACTCCATTTGGTCATCCTGACATAAAACAAATACGTGACACGAGGCAGTTAATTAAAATTGGGGCACTTTCCAAAGTTATTTATGAGCTCTTTCTTGGGCACCAGGGACCCTCTCCCCCATTCAGAGCTTGGGATGAAAGCACAATTTCAAGGCTTTCTTTCCCAGATAGTGGAAATGTTACATAGAATTTCAAGGACTTTTCTTCTTTCTTGCTAATATAGTGTTTCATGTGATATTGAAACATCTGGCAATATTATCAGAACAGGCTCAGGACTGCTGAGTTAGCATGTGAGACTTGTCTCCTTCCTCCTCCCTGCCTCGGTTTACTATTTATTCTACTTAATTGGTAAAAGGTGTTTCCTGGCAACCAGGGTGCTAGATGCTGGCCAGTGACAGTATTGCAGCCTCAGAGTCCTTCCTATGCTGTCTCCTGCTTCACCAGCACACTACAAATGTGAGGTTCCCAGAGCACCTTCCCTTAGGTTCAATAATTTGCTAGAAAGACTCACGGAATTTAAGGACGTGCTCAATTTACAATTACTGTTTCATTATAAAGAGTAAAACTCTGGAGCAGCCAAAGAAAAGAGGTGCAGAGGACAAGGTTTGGAGGGGCCACAGCCCAGACCTTCCTTCCGTGCCCTCTCCAGCATGTCAACATATTCGCCAACTCCAAGGCTCCTGAGCCCTGTTATTTAGGGACTTTCACCAAGGCTGCAATACATAAGCATAGTTGGTTAAATGCTTATCTGCGTCAAATGCGGTGATCATGTGGGAGGCCGCTCTGTGTGGCGTGGGTCCAGTTCCCACTGGGGGATGCACAGGACCCACACCCACAGATAGGTTCTCCTGTGGGGAATCAGGCCTGCATTGTACTTAGGCCGCTATGAGTCTTGTTTTTTGCTAAAACTCCCTCAACCTGAATTAAGGACATTTACTGCAAAGCAACTTCCTGAAAACCATGCTAAACCTTTCGAGGATGAGTGTAACCGGTTCAACTACTTTTGCCTTTTCATTTGCAAATACCCCTCTTCTGTGATGTGATTAGCAGCATCCTCTCCTTTGTTTTCGGTATAAGGTAACCACCTAAAGCAAGCCTGTGCATAGTTAATGAGGACCTTCTTGTAAAGTGCCCAGTAAGACAATAAAAGCTCATTGGAGTGAGGGCCAAGGCTTTTCTGCTCCCCTTGAGAGAAAAGCCATGATGTCCCTTTTCTTCTACCGGATTCGGTAATCCGTGTGAATGTCTCATTTTCATCCATAATGACGTGGACCCCACGAGCCAGGGTCCGCATCAGATCAAACTTAATCTTTTTACCTCTCTTTTCTCCCCAGATGTCAAGGGGTGGAGCTGAAAGGTCAGATCCTCTAATCACGTGGTTGGTTTTTGAAAGTCACTATTATCCCTCGGGACATTCTAAGGGTTTGGGGAGCTCTATGCCAGGGACTAGAGGCAAAAGCCAAATACATATCTGCGCTATACCACTATAGGCATGCTATCTTGTTTCTACTCTGGTGTCAGTACATAAACACGCATGCTCCATGTCCAGTGCCTTGCCTTCCACATTTCCCAAGAGCAGGTTCCCAGCGTTATGTGGACCCTTGGCTGGGGGGCGCACTCACAGGAAAATGCATCAAGAGACAGGAACTCTAAATCCCTGTTACTGTTGAGTCTGGGTTCTTGTCTCCTGATGTAAAAGAATTTAGACCAGGGGCACTGATAAAAGTAAAGGCAGATTTATTGAGGCTCGGCAGGAGGCAAGAGCACTGGGATAGGGCCTCAGGTTCTGCATCCCAAGTGCAGGGCTTAGGGGTTTTCTATTGCTTGGGAACACGAAGTCACTGGTTCGCCAGTCAGGGTGGAGTTTAGCAGGCTTTTTCCTTTTTTGGAACAATATTTGTTCCAATACCAGGTATACATCAGTGAAGCAAAGCATTCTGGGATTGGGCAAGACTTATTATGGGATGCTGGAAGGGACTTTCCCAACCAGGCAGTGAGTGAGTTTATCTCTGTGATTTGTGGTTTGGATCTGAAAAACAAACCTAAAAGATATCAAGGTAGTTCCCTGGACCATGGTTTTGTGACTGCCATAGTTCTGGTAGGGCTTGACTCCATGGAGCAATTTTGGGGAACATTTGATTCTGCCTGTTTCATCCAGACACGTCCTAGGCTGGCTGCCCTCACCCTCTTCACCTGGCCCATATCCTGATGCTGAGCTCTGGCCTTCCTGAGGCGCTTCCTCCACACTAGACTCGTTGCTGCTCCCTGCACAAAGGAACAAAACCTAAAAGCCGGCAGGAAAACCCCCAGTAAAGGGATGTCAGGAAAGGCCCAGTGGCTTGCAGAACTTCTAAGCAGGAAAGTCCCTGCTCTAGACAGTCCAGTCTCCCTGCAGCCTCCAGGTAGCTGGAGCTTCAGCCAGCCACAGGTCCCTGGGGTAAGGACACATGACCACAGTGGCCAGCTTTGCCTGCTTTGCTCTCCATTTCCTCACTGCTCCCTCTCTTCTTCCCCTCCCAACTGTCTCCGTCCCCATTCCTCTGCCTCTGCTCCTCCTTCTTGTGGCGCCTCCCTCTCTGCTCTCCTGATCTCTGCATTTCCTCCCTCCAGCACTTCAGGACTGTCTTCTGTCTCCTTGTGCTCTGTTGCTATTGGCCCGTCTTAAGCATTCCTCCCCTCCCAGGTCTCACAGTATTTGTCCTCTTCCCCTCCACTTCCCCCTGTGAGCTAGAAGCTTCCTGCATGGAGCACCAGGGCCTCCCTCTCCTGAGCCCACCCTGTGCTCCCTGGGCCACCTCCGGGCACCTCTGCTGTGACACACTGAGTGTCATCGCACAACAGACTCCCTCAGCCAGCCTTCCTGATTATGTCAGGTGCTCAGTCACGTGCTGGCCTTGCTCGCTGGCCTCCCTCGTTCATTTTGGGGCGACGAGACACCAGACCCACAGCACAAGGCTGCACTAGATTTTCGGATGTGGAGCATTGTGCCCCTAGAATACATAAGGATTCGTGGAGAATCTCCTCTGTGCCCTCAAACAGCCTCGTGGCTCCCTCTCCTCCCTCTCTCCCCGTGCCACTTGGGAGGCTCACTCCTCCGCTGCAGCTCCGCATCCGTGTCTTTCCTTCTCTGTTTCTCCGGCGCTTTTCTTTTTACCTTGGCTTCTGCCTTCTGGTTTTGCTCTTCCCCTTTACTGGCTATCCTCACTCGCTAACTGATAACAATCTCAGCTGAATTTTGTGTCTATTCCCAATTTATGTTCTTTTCCACAAAAGTGGCTTATTACATGTATACATATGTGAGATTTTTAGAACCATTTTATAAAATTTTCCAAATAAATACATCAGTAATGTAATGTTTGCCAAAACATGTGTTCCGCCTTCAGAGCACAGAATTATGAGCACTTCTGTTTCCTGACAAATATCTTTTTTTTAAAGATTTTATCTATTTACTTTTTAGAGAGAGGAGACGGGAGGGAGAAAGGAAGGGGTAAAAACATGGATCAGTTGCCTCTCCTATGCGCCCGGACCTGGGACCAAACCTGCAACCCAAGCCTGTGCCCTGACCCAGAATTGAACCAGCAACTTTCCCCTTGCAGGACAACGCCCAGCCCACCGAGCCCCACCAGTCAGGGCATTTCCTGATAAGTATTCACTGAGCTCTTACTAGGGGCCAGACACCGTGTTCAGGCCAGAAGACACAGCAAGAACAGGACAGATCGGTCCCTGCCTCGAAATCACAGTCTACCAGGGACGGCAGAACCAAACCACCTTAACAAAACCACGTTAACCAAACCA